TATTCCTCTACTATTAATACCTATAGTAATTCACTTAGATATAAAGAGGTAGTATTATCTAGCTCTCTTTTATATACTTTGTAAATACTTCTTTATAGATATACTTAATAAAATCTTATACAAGATTAAAGTTGCTAGCGCTAGTCACGCTTATAGGGATTAATTAACTAGAGATAGCGCCTAAGTCCTAGAAATAAGTTAGAAATATATTACAAACAGGTTACAGTGCACTATAAAACTTGCCTATTATCTACTTATTACACATATTAATAGTAGTCCTATAGAATCCCTATAAGTAAATATACCTCTATAACACTTATCTTTTTATAAGTGCTTTACACTTCTAAAAGAAGTTAGTAATAGTAACTTAATATATCTTAGTTGTATCCTTATCTATAATAATTTAGCTAAGTGTAATAACTATAACATATTAGAAATATATTATAAACCTATTCTTAATACGTATGCTTCTTTTCCTATAGGTAGAAGATTACTATTAGAATCTCTGCCTATGCCCTATATAACCTCTTATATAATATATCTATCTAGAATATATCTTAATTTAATAGAATTAATACCTACTCTTTAAAAAGGTAAATAATTAAGTTACCTAAGCTTAATATAAAGATTTGCTATATATATACCTATAGTAATATATTAGTAACGTGTTCTAAACCTATTCTCTTACACTATATATAGTTTTAGGATCCTAATGCTTTATCCTCTACTTATAGTATACTCCTCTAAGGCTACTCTTAAATAGGAACTATAGAAGCTTTTTACGCTTTATAATACGTAAGATTTTATCTTTATTTATAAAGCTAATATATATTTCTTTAATAGAATAGAAACCTTTAAGTTAGAGATAGGTTTAGAGCTAGGTTAAGTTTAGGAACTAGGCTATAATAAGTTAGGAATATATTTATAATAGGTTATAAATAACTTATATTATATAAGCTATAGAGTAAGTATAGGCTATAATACCTTTACTACTTCCTTAATATTACTATTAGATAGTATTAAGGGAGGAGGAGGTATATATATATATATACTAAAAGAAATAATAGTAAAAAAAGGTATTACTACTATATCTATTAGTATAATTACTTAGAAGGTAACTTTACACAGGATTTTAAATAGAGATCCTTACCCTTATAAATAATTAATGCCTAGAATATATTAGGAATATGTTAAGAATAGGTTATAATATACCTACCACACTTCTTTATCTAGCTTAACTATAGCTTAACTATAGAATATAAAGCAGGACTACTAGAAAGATTTAATATCTCCCTAGTTAGAAGACCTTATAGATATATAGAGTCTACCTCTAGTAGTACCTAACTAAAATAATATTTTTTCCTAGTAGTAGATATTAGGCTATAGTTCTAATAGCTAATATATAGTTAAGCCTGTTCTATAATTTACTAACTTATTATTAATATATTTTAAATATATTTAAGTTTTGCTCCCTACCTAATTTACTATAGTCCTTATTATAAGATAATAAGACACCTAGTAGTCCTTATAAATCCTTAAAGAGAAGCGCTTAATAAGGCTATAATAATAGCTTCTTATTTATAGTTCTCTTTATAGAATTTTCTTAGGTACTATACTTTTTAAGGTTTAGATCTAATTATATAATACGTTATTAATAACGTAATAAGAATATATTTATAATATATTCTTAAGATACTTATACGCTTTTACCCTAGAGTATTAGTATTTATACTAGCTTACTAGCTAGCTATTAAAGAATAGTAAAGTTATAGGCCTATTAAGATAGATAGACTAGCAGGAGTATTATACCTACTAGAATTAGAATAATTTAAGAATATATTCTTAATATATTACCTATATAGCCTATATAAGCACCTCTTCTCTTATTAGGTAAGAGCTATTTTTATATTACTAAACTAGTATTATATACCTATACCCTTAGCTATATAATTAAGGGTATACTAGGAGAATAGCTATATACTTAATAATTACTAGTATAAGTAGTAGTCCTTAACTATTACTATAAGTAAGGTATATATTATACCCCTATAATATATTATAAACCTATTCTAAACTTATTCTATTTACTTTTACTTACTTCCTTAATACTACTACTACTATCCTCCTCTAGCACTTTATATAGTTACCTAAATTTATCTCTAATATTACTATCTAGTTTAGATATATTATCTAGTACTACTATACTAAACTTTAGTATAGTATTTAGGAATGCTTATATATTATTAAGAATAGGTTTAGAATATATTTAAAAAAGATAGTAATAAAAACTATATTTACTTACTTAAATTACCCTAATTTATACTTAACTATAGGCTAGTTTATATAACTATAAAAATTTGCCGCTGTGACGTGGACTTGAACCTACAGGGATATTCTAACCACTCGGAGTAAAGCCCAAGTCGCCCGACGCTAAACCCATGGTCATATGACATGCCACCACTTCCGCGACCGCCGCAAATCACCCGAATTGAGAACATCATCTCTTTGGATGTGCCAAGTTGATTTCTCTTCGCAAGCTTTCTCAGACTCACACACATCGGTTGGGTTGTGGAGGATGGGCTTATGGTGGCGCAAGGGCTACCGGTAATGCATAGGGCTTAATGCTCGCAAAGTAAATATGGCGTTTGAGGTTTGCTGAGTACCGGCAAGTAGCTGGTGCAGTAGTGACACTGTGACAGACATCCAAGTTATCGCTTTGTACATTCTGAAAGCTGTTGAGGGCAAGGACATCGATCAGGTACACATACTATTGCTCGGGCCATTCGATATAGTGGAGGCGTTGACTTCTTTGGTCGGTGCAAGAGAACAAAACTCTATTGAAAACGGCATGCAGACTACCGGTAGCCCATGCTTGCCGCATGGTACGGTATGAACAACCTGGTCGTGCTCCCTACATATGGAGGCCTAGTGAGCGATACGTTATATTCCATGCTTCAATTTGATTTAGAAGAACTATCTAGACAGTCTAGTCAATTTTGCTTGAAATAGATATGCAATAGAAGAAAGGCATGCCTTGTCACCCCGTATCTGTCTATCAATCTGTTCATTGGGCTGAACTATCGGTACCTAGGTTTCCAAAATCGCTCGTAATTCCCTCACAGCACCTGGGTAACTTGATTCAATACCCATGCCCTTCCTTCTCATACTTTCCATCCGTCTTAACCGACTCGTTATTTCTCGTGTTGATATCAAGCCACAAATTAATCTGGCAGACTATGATATCCAACTGGATCCATCGAATGTTGCGCATAGGATTCAGCAAATCCATCAGCATCCCTACATACACAAAACCCTCTTCATCGGGTGGAAGCGACTTAGTTAGACGCCTACCATCAAGAGCGTAGACAGCAGACCGCCCACCGCCAAATCGACCGAGCATGCGTTTCCCCTCGACGCCCGTGCGCGATGATGCCGGCTTACGAGAAGGATAAACTTTGTGGATTCGATTGCGTGCGTTCTAGAGAGGGCGTCGCATTCACTGATCAGTCCCACCCTAGACTCGATGAAATCCACGTCTCATGAAGCGCAACCATCTCCGCTCCATTTATATCCACCTCCTCAAGTCTACACGTCTTATCCGCTATGCCCTGAAGGATTGAGCCAATTCGGTTCATGCTGCGTTACAGCAACTTTGACTACATCAAGAGTCGCTATTCTGTTGCCCTGGGCACGACGTTTTTCCAAGCAAAGAGCATCCTCTAAGCCAGCAATTATTAAAAAATAATGTATCCTATAATCACGCAAATAAAGCTATGTAGAGCCTATATACCCGTCCCAAATTTGCACCTCCGCAAACACGCATCCTCCCGCCCACAAACTCGATGCATCTGAAAGATTACAAACCCTCAGAGCAAACGAGCAGCTCTATTTAACCAAAAATTCAAGACTTAGAGCAGGTGACACTCTATCCGCAATCTCACCAAGCTCTGTGATACGAGTAGATAGTATACACACAACACAGTCCTCCGACTCCAAAACTCCACACCAAACTGCAAATCGCTGGTCTTGTCATCATTCGAGACTGACTTTTACAAGATCCTAACAATATCAAATCAAAAAAGCACTGCTGCAGTCCTTCAACATCCCTCCTTCATCGCTCCCATTGCCCTGCCCCTCCATTGTCTCGCTTCACAAACCCATCCATTCCAACACCGTATCCACTAAACAAACCACCCAAACACTCCTTAACCAAACACGGTTACACAATGCGGCGGGTAAACGGCCTTGGCATATGTAGACACATTGTATTAACCACCACTTTTCTGCTTGGGAGGTTGTATGGGTCACCAGGACCGCCGCGTGACCGGACAAGGGGGATGTACGGTACGGTACGGTATCTAGTAAAAGTATCAGGGTACAGTAAGTAGACACAGTAAGTCCAAGCTAGTAAACAAGTCTTCTATTCTAGCAATTATATAAACGTGGTGGGAGGGGTGTTTGATAATATTCAGCGACTGTGCAGTTCGTTAGCTATGCTCATTTTCCTCCTGTGTATCATGGTAGGTACTTTGCACATTTCGACATGATCGCGTGTTCGTTATATTTTTCTTTGTTTTGTTGCTTTCTGCCTTTTGATATTCTGAGAAAATATCCTTGTGCCACAGCTCCAATCGCCCAACAAGCCAACCCCCACTGAGCATGGTGGTGTTGCCGTGTACGTATGATGTCTGCATAGATGATAGCTTGCAGCTGCTGGAATATGGCGTGACAATGGTGTCAATGGAGGGCGGTAGAAGAAGAGCAGAAAAAATAAGTAAAATGAGGACATGCAACTGTGTATTTCCGTCATGGCATAGCTCATCTGTTCGAGGAGAAGCCAGGAAAGGAACGGAGAAACATGCTCGGTGTTGAAAATTTTACTTCAGAACTGTATACAAGCTTTCAGCCATGTTTGTCCATCCGTATTCTGCTGCATTTTCCAACACGATTTCTGCAAGCTCCTATACGTCTTGCTAAAGTTTCACATTCACACCTGCTAGTCAACCCAGATACCCATTCTCACCCAGCCACGCCTTGACAGCCTTCTCGTCCCTCTTCTTGTACCCAGCATAAGACCTAATAGTGTCATCAATGACCTCGAGGCCCTTGTTATAACCTCTTGTGTCCTTGTCTTGGAAGAACTTTTGAATCTCATCTGCAATGCCTTCGTCTGCAAACTTGTTCAAGCCAAACCGCAAGAAGCGCTCGAGAACAACGAGGTTGCCGCTCAGTGTGGGATGTACCTTGGAGTCCCAGTTGTCGCGGATAAAGTACCATACTTCAGTGCGCACCTTGGAGTTATTGGCGAGCGCGATGGTGCCAGAATGTTTGTCTTGCATCGCGACTTTGTCGGAGAAGACAAAGTTCATGACTTCACGGGCAAGCTCGGGTGTTTGCACACGGCCGAGGGACTGAAGGCAGATTTCGCGGCCGTCAATCGATGTAGTGTTCAGATATTCATCCTGGATGGCTTTGAAGGCTGATTCGCCGCGATTCTTGATGGCGGTCGCGAAAATTGCGCGTCGGAGTGAGGGATGAATGGCATTCTTGTCCGCTCCTGAAATGTAGGCATCGAAACGTTTAAGGGCCTCATCAACGGTAGCTTTGTGGCCAACAACGCCAGCAGAAAGTATGAGGCTGGCACGTAGCTGTCCAACGAGGAAGCTCTCGCCCTCCTTGAAGTCCCAACCAACCTTCTCGACGGCGGGTGTAACGAGCTTGAGGTGGTATTTCCTCAACGCTTCGCTGACCTCTTCGTTACCAGAGAAGACGCTTCGAACATTACCAATGTTTGTCAATATCTGTGACCATACAAGGTAGTCCGACTCATCAGAGAAGCGTTCGACCAACGCAAGGAGGCCAGCGGTGGATCCATAGCCGGCAATTGCGTTGGCGTACGCATCACCAATGAGGCCGATCTTATCTTCAACGGTAAGCTGGTGGCGTTCCTCGCCAAGCTTCCTCAGGCGGTCAGCTGGGTAGTTGGTTCGGTAGAATCCAGTCAAATTCTTGTTGATCTGGTAAAAGCTACCATTGATGTTGCTGATGGTGTCTTCCTTCTTGGTGAGTGCGGTAGTCTTGTGAACTGAGGCAGCCGCTGCAGAGTCACCAGAGTAGAGACCAAGAGGTATCCACCAAGTAGTCTGGTCCTCCTCAGACTTGACATCGCCAGCAAGCAGAAATCGCTGCTGACGTAGACCGATTTCGCCGCTCTTCTCAGTCACTGTGACGACAGGGAAACCGATCTTGCGAACCCAAAAGTCCATGAAGCTATTGACGTCTTGTCCGGATGCCTTGCTAAGAGCAGACCACAAATCGTTTGTTGTGGCGTTCGAGTACTGGTGAGCCTTGAGGTAATCGGCAACACCCTGCAAGAAAACCTTCTCGCCCAAGTGGGCGCTCAGCATGCGAATGACGGAGCTCCCCTTCAAGTAGCTGATGTGGTCAAAGATCTGGTCGACCTCAAGACCATCGTAGACAGGAACTTCGATAGGGTGAGATGTGCGGAGTGCGTCAAGAGCGAAGGCTTGTTGAACAGAATCAGTCTAGAAACATGTCAGCAGGTGATTGATTGACATGGTACCTCGAGACTTGTGACGTACAACAAACTGTCCCCACACATTCCAGTCTATGATTACAGTCAGTATGTCTCAATCGTAGTCATTGAGATCGGCGTACCGGGATACAGATGGTCAATGGCAAGCCATCCCACCCAGGTCGCGAAACCCTCGTTCAGCCACAGTTCACTCCACCAGTCCATGGTGACCAGGTTACCGAACCATTGGTGGGCAAGCTCATGAGCTACAACGTACGCTACTCTGTTGCGATAACTGTCTGCCGATGTTGCTGGGTCGAAGAGCACTGCAGTGGTTCTGGAAGTACTATTAGCCATGCGCAGCTACAGCAGGACTTGCCAGGTACTGACCGGTAGGTGATGAGTCCCCAGTTCTCCATAGCGCCGTGTGACTAGATACACGGTCAGCTTAGCGAAATAAAGGAGAGGATGTATACGTATAATTGGCTAGCGGATCAGCGCAATTGCATATGTATACAGATCAGTGTCACTCACAAATTCATGAACGGCCAACAGGTCAACCTTTGGTAGCGGGTAGTCAATCTGGAATACTTCAGAGAAGTAGTCAACAACTTTGTGGCAGTTGTCGAGGGCAAAACGACCCTGCTCTTTCAGGCCACGCGTGGTGTATACTCTGACCGGAATGTTCTTGCCATTGTACTTGCGCTCGGTGAATGCCTCGACGTACTCGAAATCGCCAATGGCCCATGCCAGGAGGTAGGTCGACATGATAGGTGATCGCTCGAAGACGACGGTGTGGAAGCCATCGCGCTTGCTGGGCTTGATCTCCTTCTCAGGCATGTTACTCAACGCAGTCTGGTCCTTGGGTACTTCCAGCTCGACATCAAAGGTCGCCTTGAGGTTTGGCTCGTCAAAGCAGGGAAACGCGCGACGAGCATCGCATGACTCGAATTGGGTGCTGAACATGTAGTGGAACTCGTCGTCCTTGGCCACTGATGCGGGTACCCCTCCCTTTGGCTTGTACTTGGAGCGGTAGAAACCAGCCATGATGTTGTTGATGGTGCCTTCGAATTTGATCTCCAGTTCGGCTTCGCCCTTGTAGTCGATCTGCTCTCCAAAGTCCAGCGTCACGCGCTGCCTCTTCTCATCGTATGAAACATCCTTGGCCGAGTGTTTCTTGTCCCCAGTCTTCAACTCAGCACCTTCTACCTTGAGCTGATGAGCGTTCAGGACCAAGTCATTGAAGCCGCCGTCCTTTGTGAGTTTAGTGGTAATCTTCACAGTGCCCTTGTAGCTGAAGTTTCCACCAAACTCAATATCGTGGAGGGAGAGGGCATAATGTGTCGGCTTAACCCTGTTGGCGCTCCTGTTAGCTTTCATGTGTCCTGAGAGCCCTTTCCATATTCAGGAATCAGGGCCAACCTGACGGGATGGACTGCCATACCAGGCGGGCAGAATATCGCGGTCTGAAGCCATATTTGCGAAGCTGCTGGTCACCTCACTCTGACAGAATCTCTTCTGGACTTTGGGGAGGCCTGGCGTAACAACAACGACAACTCTTGGCCGATTGCTCGAGTGTCTCTGGCTCTGCGGGGTACTATGCTGCACGCGTGGTTGTGAAGAAAAGTTGGCAGAGCGTATCAGGCTTCTAGGAGCCGAGGAGCCTGAGTACAGAAGGGTTGTAGCAAGCTTGGAGTTGTTGAAGGTTGATGAATGGCGAAGCAGTGGTCGAGAACAGAGTCTCCTAAGTGAAGTAAGAGTCGCCAGCTTTGGGAAGCAGCAGTCAGTCTACCAGCCAAGGGATGCGAGCAGGCTTCAATGGCTTATTGACGGGTGGGATGGAACCTTGGGTGCTTGCAAAGAGCTGCATGCGCACTCAGAAGGGAAGGTGTGCGTGCCCCGCGGCGGGCGCATCCCCGAACATGTGGCTAGCGCGGGGTTCATGATGATGGCTTCTATCCAATGTATCTGTCTATACTGTGCAACGAGACGCGGTTCATTTCGTGATTTGAAGATTTGAATGTGACTGCTGATGAACTCTTGGGACTTGGGGTGATATGTGGTCCATAGTAGCTACACTCACTTCACTTGGGTAGTCTGGTTGTCATCTCTGCTAGGTACCGGTAAGCAGTACTGCCGTGACGGACACAGAATCACACCACATCAGATGCGACCATCACTAAACAGACAGTAAAGAACGTCGCAGCCCTGGATCAGAAGCCACATTCATTTATAGCTACGTACACCCACTTTGGCACGCTGGTTTATGATAAATAAAACCTTCTTAGATTCTCTCGTACAAGGACCGAATTATGGTGAGACCCTGCCCTGCGACTCCATGCAAATGCTTCAATCAAAAGCGCCAATCATGCAATATATTTCCACTGCTCGAACCACCTGGTAACAAGAGTGCACTTCCATCCTCTCCCCTCTCATGCCCCACGTCCTCAAACCCTGATCAACACATCCAAGCACTGTATCCTCCACTCCTTCTTCCCTAAGAGCCCCTTCACCCACTCATAACTTTGCCCGCCACTCCCCTGCGCCTCCACCTCCGCTTGCATCTTTTCCTTCAAACCCTCCACCGCACCCTTCACTGCCGCCCTGGCCGAATGATTTGCCGCCTGCGCCAACACACCCGCAGTCTCGAGGATCGACGTCGTAGTCCCATTCAGCGCCAGTTCCGCTGTTTCGGCGAGCGGTGGGTCAAACCACGGGGTGTGGAAGTCAAAGAGGGCGACAACGAGTATGAAGAGGAGAAGCGAGCAATACACGCATGGTCGGTTGAGGAAGTATGTGGCGGAGATGAAGAGGACGAGGTAGACGGGTGAGGCGTGCGTGCGAAGTCTTAGTTTGTACATTAGTATATGCGCATTCGTGGCAGGTGCCATCCTCCAGACGATGAGTGACCTACAGGAAGAACAGCACGGGTATCCAGCTGCGCAAGCAAAACATGGTATGCAGGTATGTCGTCGCCTTTTTGCGGTGCGGATGGCCCCAGAGTCGCGTGCCACTGATCTTCTGGGGGGTCTCAGGACTTGGGACTTCGGGGTGACGGAGCGGAGCGGAGCGGACGGACTGCGGTGCCAAGCGACGTACTTGTGGCGGCAGAATCGTGGGAGCCAGAAGAGCACACCGGTGGAGAGCAGGATATATAAGACGCTGTACCCTAGTGAGTGGAAAGAATATTAATAGCGGCCACGAAGGTACTACGGCAAAGAGGGCAGAAAGTGGGTGAAAGGGTTGTGGCGAGGGATTGGGCAAGTGTTTGATTGGCAAGCACCATCCAATGACCGCCGCAATAGCCGTGGTTGGACCTTCTGCCTGCCAGGCCACCTACACGTGTCAGCCTCACCCCTTGACATGACGCAACCAACATTACGACGTACATAGTACAGTGTGTTTGGTCGCATGTTTGCCAGTTCAGGGGTAACTATCATTACCATCTATGCATTCCCCCACATGTTCTCATGTCAACTCAGTTGGGAGCAGTTCGTGGTGGATGAGTCAGGCCAAGGACGGTAGTATTCCTACATTGAAAAGCGGTACATGCGGCATGTTTTTTTTCGAATCCTACGTCAAATGGTACTTCTGGTGGGTGCTATTCGATATATCTCAATAAACCTTGTACATCCATATGCATTGACGCCTGTTTCCAGCCGTTAGGCTCAAGTAATACTCGCACAAACAGAAAGCTGTAATCGTAGCCCTACCAAGCATCCTGCTCATCAGCCGACACCGCCCACAAACGCCGACCGTGCCAAATCCCTATGGTACAATAAGTACAGTGCGTGGCTACATCGATCGATTCAAAGATAGATTGGTAAATCCGTCGCGACCTTGGTGCTCTACACCGGCAGGTTGAATTTCTTGCCTTGGACGACCCTTCAGAATGTTAGATCCCATATGCTCTTCCAAGTGCTCATCAAAGACTCACTTTGTGTAGTAGATGTAGAAGAAATCAGAATACAAAATCGTCTGGATGATACCTGCAATCACCGCAATTGGGTCGTAGAACTTGGGTACTTCGAAGAAGTATCGGTAGATCCAATTGGGAATGTACAGCGTACGGTATGCGCCAAGCGCAAATAGGTAGTGGGTGGTGATCGTTTCGGCCTCTCCGGTTCTTTGCAGCATGAAGAGCTGTGGCAGGATAGCAACGGATTCGAGCCAAATAGAGAAAGCCCATAAGATCTATGACCATTAGCATCATGTCAATCTGACGGTGCATATCCGACGCACCTCTGAAAAGGTGTATTTGTATGGGAATATGATGGCCAATAGAGCACTCGCTCCTAGCAAGTATTGCACCTTGAACGTGTCCAGATTCGGGTCGTGGGTCGGCTTGTAATCATTCAGCATCAGGTATACGGTGTACGCAGATGTACCAATGAAGATAATCTTGAAACACGTATTGTAAAGTGCTTTTGGCTCGTAGAAGGTCCATAGCAGATCGACGTAGCGGGTGAGGTAGACCAGAAGGTAGAGGAATTGCGACTTGAAAGATATGCCAGATGCGCTCTGCACATTTGCGTCAGTTTTGGTGCAGTACCATAGCCCTGAAGATGACTGACACTTGACACTTTCATCTTGTGCAGAAGGATCAAGATGGAGAAGAGATGGGACAAGTCCCCTGTGCTCAGTGTCAGCAGGCGCGTTCATTGAGGGAGTGCGCTTGAAATGGTCTTGCATATGCGCTGGCCATCGTACCCAATAATCTAAAGAGATTCATCATGGCGACGGTGAGTCGCTATGCGCTGCAATGTGTGTGGAGGCGCTGCCGGGGCTCGACGTGGAAGAAGTCTGAAGTTTGTGAGTTGTTGATTGGAATTGGCACTTCGATAAAAAGACACGTTTGGCCCGCGGTGCTGCTGCAAGGCGGAACTGCTAGGATGGAGAGCTGATCCTTGCATGCCAAGCTCAACCCCCTGTCAGCGCTAGTCCATCTCCCCTGCCCACCGCGGGGGGCGATCCATCGTCGTCATCGATCATCAGTTCAACTCAAGCCAGACAAAACCATCGAGAGTAGACATATGGCACATGAAGATGCCAGTGTTGACTTTGCAAATTCGCCATGGCCTATCTGTTCGGCTGGAAGGACATACTCAGACCAATTCGTGATGGCTATCGACATCTGTTTCCAGTCCCTGACACTGGACCAACGCCTGAAGAGCGGCGCAAACAGCGTGAACTTGATCGACTGAAGGGCTTCACCTACTTTGATTCTTTTGAACAGCTCGACACTTGGACGGAAAACGAGTCTGATCCGCTCCAAAGAGCTAACACGCCACTGTTATCACGTCGCCAAGTCCCGAGGACAGATGATGAAAGGGCAAACGTTTTGCTTATTCACGACTATTCAGGCAATTACCACGACTATGAGAGCATTCAATCATCTGCATTGGCGAAAGAGTTGTACACTTGTGAATACCTGCAATATGTCGACAAGTTCATCTACTTTTCTCATAAGCTTGTCTGTGTACCACCACCTACTTGGACCAACGCACTGCATCGCAACGGCGTGAAAGTCTTAGGGACAGTCTTGGCAGAGCCACAGACAAAGGACACAGAACGTTTGCTCGAGCATGTAACAAGCGCGAATGACATTATATTCCCAATGGTGAAGAAATTAGTCGCTATCGCTGAGCATCATGGGTTCGACGGCTACCTCATCAACATTGAGAAACCTTTTTCTGGCGATGTTTGGGACCCGAAGTTGCTGCAATCTTTCTTGGGCCAACTGAAGAGCGGCCTAGGTGAATCGAAGCAACTCATTTGGTATGGAATATGCACACACTACCGTTAGTGTCGCTGACCGCCTACAGGTATGATGCATTGACAATCTCAAACAAAATATCTTACCAGAATGCACTCAATACTGCCAACATGACATTTGCAAAAGCTTGTGGTAGCATACTAACAAACTACTGCTGGTCAGAAGCTGATGCGAAGTCTTCTCAGCAACTCGCATTTCGCAACGACATGCTACTAGTGAATATCTTCTTCGGTCTCGATGTGTGGGCACAAAATGCTACGACACTATCCCACCCACGTGTCACCTACCCTGGTAGGGGCGGTGGCGGTACAAATACTGGGGTAGCGGTAGCCAAGCTGGCGAGTCTCGGGCTGTCAGCAGGTATTTTTGCGCCCGCGTGGTCGTTTGAGCATTTCGCTAGCCACGGACGTGAGATGGAAAGAACAGTATGGGAAGGTGAAAAGCTTCCTCCCGACATCGAATGCGCTTGTGGGGATTGCGCTGTACGACATCAAGCAAACGAGCAGCATGCAGTTGTCAAGCATGCACGAGAATTCCCTGCTGGCTCAGAAAGCTTCTTCTACACTGACTTCAACCGCGCCTTCAGTAAACTAGGCGAAAAGGAGACGGAAGTCTTTGGCGGCCGCACCATACACACGCATCTGAGCCAACAATCGATACTGCCGTGCTCAGGTTGTGTTAGTAATGAAACTATTACGTTGACACATTTCCTGAACGAGACGGCTGTTGAAACTGCCCTAGTAATCAAGGCAGCGACCATATCGCTTCCAGCAAATACAAGAATCAAGCAATCAGATCCTTGGCTATATCTTCCTCTCTACAAACTTAGCATGCCCTTGACCAGGAAGCTAATTCTCCGCTCAGCGGTTCGTAAGCCCGCATTTCCTTCAGGAATGGAAATTGAGTTATACATCAGAACGACCCGGCAGTGCCAAGGTGTGCCAATCACAAGAACTAGACTGGGGCTTCATGTCAACGCTATCCTCGGCGGTGAAGCAATGACTGCAGAGGACACAGTCACTGAGTTGGGTGTCCGCGCCCGCGGCATCGCTACCACCAAAGGCCCCGCACATGTTCTTTGGATTTCTTCAATTTGCATCACACCAGACGAAGTCAGAGATACCCTGCCCAAGTGCAACATCACCAACGTTCACATCATCAGTCGAGGCGGGGAGGAGAACCCACAATTGAGGCTAAAATGGACTTGTGAGGGCGCCGACAGCTTGATGGCGGAAAAAGGCATGCCATATAGTGATATCACGGGCGTATTCGCGTACTTTGAAATCGAAGTAGATGGCCTGGGTTTGGGGCGAGCGTATGCACTAGAACACATTGTTAATGCAGAAGTTATAGCCATAGCCGGGGAGAGAGATGTAGCAGTCAAGATCGCCGGTATTGGGTTCGACGGGCGAAGGCTTGCTGAATCGAGCGGAGACTTGTCTTTACAGCCACGCGGTGAGGACTCTGAATGGGTCGAGGATGAAAGCGGAGTCAAGTGAACAACTGGAACTTACAGCACTGAAGAACTAGTGGACACATCGACGGTGCAAAAAAGAGTACTACAACAAGCGATCACAAGGATTGAATACAGTCATGCTCAAATTCCACCTCACAATGAGATGCTCACAATTCCCCACACCGTGATTCCCCCACGTAGCAGCAATACAATTCGCCAAATCCCACAACTCGCAAACCCGGACCAAGGGTAAACTTGAAAACGTCCATTCGAATCAAGAAATACTCTCCCCCCCTTCATCTGTTATTACAACACAAACCCCAAACCAAACATCCAACCACTCAAGCGCACCTACCTTCTCAAAGAACAAGCCCTGTCGCCCAAACAGATCCCTTTTCTGGCATTCTTTCCGCAGAGAGATATTACGGCACGTGTATGAGATTTAGACTCTACTTGATCTGTTATAATCTACATGTCAAATCCAGCACCGCATCACCACTACACCCATACCCGCTCCACCCCACCGCCCAAGAAATAAACCTAAATTCTTTAACACGATTAAAAATGTACAATGAACCAAGTTGCCACTGCTTCCTGATATCTCACATCAACGCAGCTGCGTAATGTCCGGACTCATATGGCGGAAAGGAGTCCAGGGTAGACTGGGCTGGGCTCGTGATGTAGGCTTATGCCTAGTACCCTTATTGTCGTTGACATTATCATTATCATTATCATTATCATTATCATTATCTTTTTCATTATCATTATCATTATCATTATCATTATCATTATCATTATCATTATCATTATCATTGCCAATGCCAATGCCTCCATCATACATAATTCACACCATGATGCGGGCCGTCGTCATGTAGCTAGTCCCAAATGGCAATGTGCACATGCAAGATCTGGAGAGTATGAGGCTTATGCGGTAATCGACACAAGGACAGGCCTTGTTTTGCTTGCATCTAATCCCATACCCTACATCATACCTATCTTTTGGCAAAGAAGAAATCACTCGTTAGAGTAAGATCAGCCCCAATCCCGACATCGGAGTGTGCAAAAAGTGGGCGAAATCGAAAAAAAGGCATGGAGGGATGAAACTGGTTGATATATGCAGGTCCCTGGTGGCAAAGGCAGAAAGTTTTACTTCTTGACGGCGAGTGGGAGATGCCCGATTGTGTTTATAGGAAGGGATTTAGAATTGGGGGAAGGGGAGGGGGAATACAGGGTATGGAGTAGAGCTCCGGCTATGACAGCGCCCGAATATGTCAATCTGACAACCCTGATTTGGTAAGGTGTGGTGGGATATTTGTTCTGAGAGTTTGAAAGGGACATGGTTTTCTGGCCTTGGATGACGTTGGGATTTGGATGACGTTGGGATTTGGATGACGTTGGGATTTGGATGACGTTGGGATTTGGATGACGTTGGGATTTGGATGACGATGGGATATGTTTGCAAAGTAGTGGAAATCAGGAATATATCTGGTAGTTATGGCCGCTGACAAGACTAAGCCAGGGTCTGACCGATCCCCCTGGATATGATGGTACACTCTGGAGCTAGCCGTCCGGGACAATGGCTGATTAGAGTACCGTGGAGAAATGATCGGCCAGAGAGTTATGGCTATATGCATGGGAGGACGAAGCTCGACTAGTTCATTGGAAGTAACCCCTTTGTCGATCTCCAACGTCTTCATTCTCTTGGGCGTTGAAGAAATATAGTTGAGATACCGAATAGCCGTGCTCGGAAGGGAAAGCATTTCACAGTTCCTCCATGTCCTCATCGCCCAAGTCCAAGACCGGGAAGTCCCCTGCCTCACATCGTCCAGGTCGCACAAAGACGCCATGGTTGTTGCCACATTCAAAGTATCGCTTGCCCTTGACTGTACCGTCGTTCTTGCCGGTTGGTTCATCCAGGGTGACTCCGACCCAGACGCCAATGCCAGGAATCTCAGGAACGAGCCCGATGTAGGAGATGGTGCCTCTGCGCGCGTCCGATTCGGGTAGGAGGCGTACACGTGAAGAGAGTGATAATCCTAACGTAAAATATTAGCTGGATCACACTTTTTGTGCGTGCGCTCGCTTGCGAATAGAGAGGAAATAAAGGTATGAGCATCTCGTGGCAAAGCAGCATGTCCATGGTTCAAGGCCGTTACCAAGTCGAAATAGGTAACTTAGTCCTACGTGTGCGGAGATCACGCAGGATGGCCGCGGAGGTCCAACCTAGTTAGGATCGGCCGCAGAGAGCTTTGCAGATCTGTATTATAAAAGAAGATACTGTGTACTTTGATGAAACTTGTAGTGGACAAGCTTCAGGCTGTGATGGACCGTTGGACCTGGGGATACCGCACAGACGAATCCTCTACCCAACAGAATTTTAACATGTGTAAGATGACTGCTCGTGATGCACAAGCCGCCTTGTCGACTTGGATTAACCCCGCATGAGGCCTTTAGGTTTCAGGCTTAAAAGCGTATAATATAATGTGTTGGCGAATCGAAGGAGAGGATGCGAATGGTGACAAGATGGATAATTTCTTAAGGTTTCGGCGAGTCTGGCACCAGCGCCCGTTCCAGCGGGCCGTATGGGTAGCGCAGATCCTCAGAAAAGACCATACTAGGCGATAGCAGCAACAAATAAAGACATGTTGACTCCCGGTTTAAGATTTCGGTTGCCTGTGTTGAAGCGCCGGGTGCCTTCAAAGCCCACGTCTGGGGTCGGGATCATCTTGGCCAAAGGCTATTGTGCAGAATGCCCGAAGCGGAGGCCCGTAAGACGAGAATCTGATAACGTGCCAACTCCAGAAAGTTGAGCATTGAGTCCTCGTCCTGGTTCGCCTTCATGGCAGGGTCAGGCCCTCCGGATCTTGCGCTTACGAAGGACGACATCCTTTGCCCACAGACGGAGCGATGTACAAGGATGGAGCCACCCGTCGATCCCATGTAGCCAGCCATAGATTGGGGACTACGATGGGTGTATCTCTAATTTGCGCATATGGTCGCATCTTGCGATTGGCGCAATTGTGATGATAGAGTGAAGTCGAAGCTCATTTTCCACTGCTTTCCCTTGCCACGACCATTCGAAAAAAGAGAAACCATCAAGTCATAATATACGGCTTACCTCTTTCTTCAACCTCCCGTTCCGAAGCACGAATCTTTTGTTGTTCAATACTGGGAGCGTCCGGGTCAAATCGGCCGAGCTTCTGCGCTTTCTTCCAGGCAAGTACGCTGTCCGTTCGTGACTCATATTCCGTCGCAGGCATCTCATACTTCTCTACGGCTGACAGATCAGTGAAGTCTGTTCGAGCGCCCGGCGGGCGTGTATCTGTGACCTAGAACAAGGATGTCAGGGAAAAAGCCAAGTTTCAGATGCGTCATGTGGCGGAAAAGTTTGTTGAACGCGTTCGCTCAACGGTATACGCCAAGTTGGACACAGGGATCAATAAAAGAAGAAAATAATAGCCACTGATAAGGCTGAGAACATTTGAAAAAAAAAGCAGGTCAAGGACTTGATCAGAATATAGTGGCGTGGGGGGATCCAGCTTCAAAGCTGGCTTCCGAGCTGAAGCGGACCTGGACAACGAAGGAAAATTTAAAAATGCTAATTCCATGGGGTAGCAATAGCGGCATATCGGACAGAGCGCCTATCAGCCAACGGCAAGACAGGTTGGCAGCAAGCACTACAAGCCAGGTATGGCGTAGCTGACCCGACGGCCTTGGGTTCCTGTCAAAACCACAAATGGGAATTGAGAATTAAGTTGACGAACGAGCGAACCTAAAGAGGACTCCTGTACAGGAACAGGGAAGTACGTAGCTGTGTCGGTAGAGGGACTGTGTGGCAGCTAGGGGCAAGACCAGAGCATGTGCCCTCAACAATAGGGCTGGAATTGCTAGGCAAGGATCGATTGAATGAAGGCTCACTGACCGTTATCTCTGCATACGGTTGCAACGGAAAGGCTGCAAGGCGTGTCTGCTCTTCGTCATCTGCAGCGAGGGCGACAGCATCCTGGGAAGCAAACCGCAGCGATAAACTCTGACTGCTCGCTGGTACACCGGTGATGGGTTCTAGACGCGTCTTGAGATGTGCGATGGTCCAAGAGGGAGAAATGCGGCGCTCGGAAGAAGAGTTTGGGGAGGTGATGACGAGGGGCACGTCTGACGCGCTCTGCAAAGACATGTCGGCGGAATACACGCTGATTGCGCGAGATGCAGTGGAGGCTAGGTAATGGGCACAGGTCTTGGAAAGACCAATCTGTTTGGCACACTCCTTGCCGCGCAAATGACGCGCGAGATGAGATGAAGGGGAATACGAATGGTCAATTACGTAGGGTAGGTATCGTAGGTTGGCGGCCTGCAGCAAGCGAACGGTGATGCGAACGTGTGAGACGAGACTTTGCTAGATTGCGGGCTTGACTGACCCACTCTGCATGTAACCCAATCTGGACGTGATGGACGTGGAATATGGTGTATCCGAGGTGGTGTAGGGCCGAAAAAAGCAAAGTTAGGAACTCAACGTAGGATGGTATGGGCCATGGTATGCAGTGTGTATGTAGTGTGTGTGTGATGTGGGTATGGTATGTAGGTAGGTATACGGTGATGCAGCACGAGAAGGCGGCAAGTGTTATTCGTCCGGGTCGCAATAAGAAAAGTGTCCTGGTCATAAGCCTTACCTTACCCGAATTAGTTAATATCCTGCAGCTAGTAAATTAGTACTGCAGGGGATACTACTAGATAGCCCGCGACTAGTATTAATAGTATTAATATATAGTATTAGTAGTATTACTATAGTAAAGGAAAAGGATTAACTTACTATAACTTAGTATATTTATAATACTACTAGTATAGGGCTTTATAATAACCTTATACTCTATAAAGCCTTAGAGGATACCTAAGAGTTATCTAAGTTAGTTAGTAATATAGATTAAGTAAGTAATATTTCTATAAGATAAAAAGTATAATAATTAGGTGTGTTTTAATAGATTTTAGTTAATATAGGATATTAGGTTATAGCTATTACCTAGTTGCTATAGGTAAAAACTCTATAATAACACGTAACTAGGTATAGATAACCTAATATCTACTAATACTATACACTAATACTATTAATACTAGTCACAGGCTATCTAGCAGCATCCCCTGCAGTACTAATTTACTAGCTACAGGATGTTAACTAATTTAGGTAAGGTAAGGCTTATAACCAGGACACTTTTCTTATTGCGACCCGGACGAATAACGTTTCCCCGAGAAGGCCAGTGGGCTCGACGAATCGGGTATGTCAAGCGAGAAACGCCAAGACAGCCGTTTTACATACACAGTAGTACTACTGGTACCTACCTACATCCACACAACCTACAACCTGGACGTACCGGTACCTACTGTACATTATCATGCGACTCTAGTTGGTACTTTGCGAGACCATGTACCTACACTCAGCACAATACCAGTGCGGTACCTGTTGTGTCACGCCGCTGGTGAATGTCTCATAACACCTCGGATGAGAGAGAGAGAATTATCACGCCAACGCCCACGCCGTCGCCCACCCCCCACGCGCTCCCAGCTTCTCCCACCCAGTGGTTGTGGGATTCTGGAGGCCATCACGGAACTAGGTATGTAAACAAACCAGCAAACCCCACGATTATGTGATGCCAGCTTGCTACGCGTGGGGAGGATGATGCCTTTCCCTTTCTCCTCTACAGTCTGCCCATGTCCGCTTATTGGAAGGCTTTCTTTCAAGTGCGAAACGACTAGGTCAATGGCCAAGACAGGCAAAGATCCCTCTACAAATCACATGTACCCGCCCTCCGACACCCAGATCGCGTGGGCCACCAAGCCAGAGCCGCCGGCGTTGCGATCTGCTGGAGAGACATGAATGAAATCAAGCGCTCAAGGTCACGCGCAAACGGCCAGCGCTTGCATCTTCCAACCCCAGTTCAGAGCTCAGAGGCACATCTGTGGCGCGGCAATTTTCCTCCAACGACGCGCCCGCCTCACCGCTTGTTTGATGCAATCCATCATCAATGCAAAGCCTCTAAAAATACCAGGTACACGTATACATACTCTACCTAGTACTATACTATACAGAGCAGAGGAAAGTGTTGCGCCAGGGTGCACTTCCTTCTAAGACGGCAAGGACAGGAGTCTGCTGTCAAGTACAGTACTGTCCAAGTGTGTGGACAGAGAGCCCTGTCGGCCTTCATAAACCCACACGGGGCCAAGCAGCCGAAGCCTTCACGGCCAGCCATACAGTGTGGCAGCAGCAGTCTGTCACACAGGCGACTGCAAAGGGAAGCAGCCGCTGCAGCAGCCGGCGTAACACAGTCGCACGGTATCTGTACTTGACAATCGGAACGTTGCACCTGCCCTGCGACCAGGGCCTTGGAAAGCATCTCGTTCGCATGCCGTTCACAGATTGCCCTGGAGTCTGTGGGGGAGGAAAGTCCTTCAATCAACCACGCCTCAGGCCGCCAACGCGAGCTCTTTATTTGCATCGGCCAACGCACGGGGCGGCTGTTCATAGCTAATGCACGTCGGCCTTGCCTGGCCGAACGCCTTCATGGTCTGCTCAACTTTGCACGTAGAACGGCGACCAGCACGCAGCGGGTTCGGGCATACCTTCACCGCCTGATGCGCATCATTCACGCATCCTTGGCAGCTCCATGACTGTGATGCAATGGTCCTGGTCGCCTCCCCAGGTGGACCTTGTTGCTTGCTGCTGCCGCCGCTGCTGCTGCTGTTGCTGCCTGCGGAAGAGTGCTGCGTCTGCAAGGCCTGCGATGACCTGGCACAACAACGCCTGGTAGCATACTGCAGATTGTCACCACTACCGCGACAACGTGGCCCCTGGACACAAGACAACACAGCAGCAGCACCGCAGTTCGGCAAAGCCATGTCTCACGTGGACAAGGTAGCACGCGTTCACGTCTGGTTACGGCTCCGACCGACGCTACTACGAAGAGCCCCATACAAATGCATAGACGAATATACATAGGGTAGGCAAGTTGGCAGCGCGTTCTGATGCGCGCTGGTGAGCTAGAGCGAAAGCTAGACGTCACGGCCATCATCGGCCGTTCACCGCCGTTCTATCTGCCCCGAAGTCGAGCCAGCGTTGACATAGCTGAGTTCCGGTGTCCACGGTGGGGTGCTGGCTGAACCATGAACGCTGCAAAATCATGCGTGGAGTGTTGTCGCGACTTGGCCAGGCATTTAGCTTGAACACATCACCATCTGCACCGCCAGAATGATATCAGCGTTCGCAAGGCTATGTCCGGTAGCGACCCTCCTGGCGTCAGATAACCGTAGGGCAGGGCGAAGGATGCTGCAGATCTTGTTCGCCGCAACGCCATGTCATCGCACTTCTGCACACCCGGACCCGACCCTGGACGTTGCAAAGATCCCTGAGACTGTTCACCGCCTTAGGTGCGCCTGATTCGTTGCCCTTTTCTATCACTTGTGTGTTGTTTGAACTAAACAGCTCCTGGGTGAGTCTGGCGATCGTTGGCGGCTACCCTGCTGCTGTTGGCTTTGTAGTGGCACACGCCGCAGCCCTGCCTTGGGCGCATTGAGGCCTGACGCAGAAAAGAAGGGCAGCAAGTGAGGCCCAGGAAAGCGAGCAAGTCAATAGGAACTTTGTCAAAGGCTGAACCAGAGCGTGCATACAAGTTTTTATCTCGAGTGCTGAACACGTCATGGGCGGGCAGTCTGCTACGCAGTACAGGTGTCGTGCTTTTTTCATGACAAGCTAAACCTTGCTCCTTGGGCCGTAAGGGTCGTCTTTTTTTTGGTCAGCTCGCTAAATTTCCCCGGCCGACACACTAACTGAGATCAGATCAGCCATGAATCATTGTGGCGCACCGCCAGCACGAGTCGAGGCAGCCGACAGCGCCAAAGTAATCAGTTCCAGGTCAGAAACGCAAAGGGTACTTTCTATCCCAAAGCCCCGGATCCCTACCGCGGACGGACGATGAGGCGGCACCAGGGCTTCAGGGATGCATCCTAATAGTCTTACAGTCGCACGCTAAGTTACTCTACTCCTGCATCCATGTTCCTACCACACTATTCTCCGCTCTGCCAGGCCGTAGTCCTTACCCTCAGCGCAACGTTTCCCATTCCCTCGAATCTCCTCCAGAAACTCAGTGGCTAAGCACGCTTGTTTGTGGACAAAACCTTTTGGTTGGTTGGTTTCATCCCCTGTCCGGAAGCTGTGACCCATAGCCCAATAGCTTAGAACGTCCAACCACTTAGAGCGTCAATCGCTCGAAATACCTCGCAACTGGTCACTCTGGTATCCATCGGCACATTAGCTTCACTCGGAACCTCATCACGGCGGATCGTCCTCTTCTGTTCCATCTCGAAACACCAACTCTCCTGTCCTCGGCTTACCATCACAACACCAAAGAACGCATACACTGTTCGTGCATCTGACCTCTTGCTATCCTTGGATATAGCATTGTTCTGCCTTGTTTCCACTCGACGCCACGCCTCGCCTCAGCTGCATTCGTTGCACTACTCCCTGCTGTCGTCTCTGGTCCTGTCCGGGCTCACTTTGGGGCATCAACACTACAACTTCACACCCAAACTTGACTGGTGACATCGCGCATAACACACTTGGATTCTAGGCCGTGTAACATAAAACCCAAGAACCTTTCTCCAACGCATGGGCTGGCTAAGAGCTAGTCCCCCTCTTACATCCTGGATATCAATCTCCTACTCGAGCCTCGCGGCTCCGAGTCGCCTGCGAGCAAGAAGAGCTCAATATCAGTAACATCCAACGCTACTACTGCAGGAAGAACATACACCACGGCTCCCTCCGCGTATACGCAATCCCCAGCTCAGAGAGCCTCGCCAGCGTATGCTACCGGCTCACCGGCATATGCATCACCGTTATCCTACGGCCCCATTCCAGCCTATCCAAACCAAGCACCAACATCAGCACCACATGGACCTGGATCAATGGTAGGGGGCCCAGTACTACCTGCTATTTCCGAGCTTCACCGACATCCGGATCCAACATCACAGCCCCAGTTTCGGCCTCTATACTCGGGGCAACCTGGGCCTGGACCTATTCACCAAGGCCCCCAGGGTACTTCTGGATCACCTCCTTCTACTCTCAAACGACAGGCCTCTCAAACCCCACTACCCGACGAAAGCCCAGCAAAAAAGCAATCCAAATGGACGCCAGAAGAGGATAATTTGACAATCGAGCTGAGGGGTCAAGGTATGAAATGGGACGACATCGCCAAACGACTGCCTGGAAGGAGTTCCATCTCCTGCCGTTTACGCTATCAGAACTACCTGGAAAAGCGAGCCATTTGGGACGAGGAAAAGAAGAACAAGCTAGCACGACTCTACGCTCGGTACGTACGATATGAATCTCCTGGACCTTCAGCTTGAGAATAATGCTTTTTGAATTGGTCTTACACTCCCTCTGTTTTGGTTGATTGCGTCTTCGATATACAACTGCTGTACTGAATGTGAAATGGGTTAATCCAGTACTGACTTCCACAACAGCTTCAAGGACCAAATGTGGCAGAAGGTGGCTACTGAGATGGGGATCCCCTGGCGATCAGCCGAGTCCATGCATTGGCAGCTGGGCGAACAGGAAATGAGCGCGCGAGCCAACGCCCCAGTCTTTCAGTTGCATCCTTCTGCGACCGGTACAGGACTCAGCTCTCCATCGCAGATACCTGTCGTACCCGCTCCAGCTCCGCACAGTTTTACACCTGCGAACACCACACAGATAATGCCAAACCCGCCGCCGATGCCGCCTCAACATCGCCAGCCTCCCCCTCAATCGTTGCCGCAGGGTCCAATTCATGGCTATCATCATCGTTCAGACAGTGGATCAGGTGATGGTCGAAAGAGGAACAATTCTTTCAGCCGGAGACGCGCAGACCCCCGGTCGCGCTCCAGTGTGCCACCTCACTTCAATCAGCCGTTACCTCAAATACAAGCGCAGTCTGAAGCAGACTTGATAAGTGGAGCAAGAACTGCCCCTGCGCCAATCCAATCCACCGTCAAAAGAGAGGGTAACATGCCTAGCTACAGTGACTTCTACCAAAAGCGAAGACACGAGGAAGAGGTTACAGGCTCACCAAGAAAAGAAATGGATACACGAAGTCAGGGTATGAGGAGTCCGGATAGGATGTCACAGCGCAGTGGTACAGAAAGTGTCAAGAGCATGAAGCGTGAGCCCGAGGAAGCAGATCGATCATCGGCAATGCCATCTCCACCCCATGCTTCTTATGATCGGCCCCCCTCGAGAGTCGTTTAAAAGCTGCACTAGCCCTGGTGTAGCTGTTGTATAGAATTTATATTCAACAAGTGAAAGAGTTGGGAGCATGTGTATACCGGCTGGACCGGAAGGGCTGATTTGGAGTTTTGGGTATGTCTGGGGCGTAGGGTAATGGATAGGTGTCTTGGAAATCTCACGACGCATAGAATGGGGGACACGCTCAGGCATGGACTGGCATACATTGAAGACAGATCGATTCCAATGATCATGATTGTGACCTTCAGCGTGGGTTGGTTTTTCCCGTTTTGTTCTGTTTTTGTTTTTGATTTTTCCTTTTGCATCATCATCACAAACATTGTCAGAGCGCTGCATTGCTTTTCACTAGATCATGATCTTGTTCTTGCTTATTATAGAGACGCATGTGGCGGTAACGATTGCGCATCTTGAACCAGCGTTTGATTCTTTTTATTTCATCAAGAGGCATTGTTCGCATGACCAAGCATAGCGTGGCGGGAAGCCTACTAGACAAACACTGTAGCATTGTCATTTCCAAGCATCGCTTTGTCCGTATCTACATCAATTGTAATCAAGCATTTCATGAGAAAACTTTTCACACGTTTGACTCATACCCTTTCCTACAACCCCTCAGTGTTCTGCCAACTGTCTGCGCCACAGACAGACCCAGTGAACGCAGACAGAATCTATCTGCCAACACATAGCACGGCTCTCGTCTACTCGGAATTGCAAAGTCACTCTACTGAACTCATTGTTCAGGCTCTCGAACCTCCCAACAGTTCAGAGCGCCAGCATATCCTAGTGGCCTCCGTGGCGGTGAACAGCAAACCCCCACCGCTCTTCGTCTACCCCGGATCATCGTCTAATGACGTATGTCGTGGCTTGCATTCAGAGTCGGTCAAAAGACAGGCCTACGTGGCGAGCTCTCAAGGCCCTGGAGTGTTGCGCTGTCACCGCGCGAGTTTATTCGATCAAGGTTGCCAAAAAAAAGGTGGTGTAGAGTGCGTTGTTCACCCGGCACAGCCTCAGGCGCCTCACATGGCCATGATTGGCCGATAGTAAAGCCGCGTTATACAGTACGTATGGGGCCTGCATGAACTTGCTGGAACCGTTCGTCGGCTTGGGGCTATTTTGGACAAGCGGGAGAAGTATGCCATGGGCCCAAACCCACCACCAGCAAAAGTGGGTGTTCCAGCCCCACAAAAGCAACAAGTAATCGTGACCCGATTTATGATGGCATACTGCACTTTGTTTCATGAGACGCATCGCCAGATACATGGAGCACGAGGATCAGAAAGTGCAATCAAACTTAATGTGCACATGTCACAACTTTAAAATACACCTTCGACATTCTAGAATACATGCCCGTTCCGTTCGCCTACCCACAGGGCTGAAGATTTCAAATGGGCGGCCAGTGTGTGTGGCACTCCACTAGCACCAGCGAACTACCATGTGCTCTGAAACGGCTAACAACAGCCGCCCAACAAGTGCCCCTTGGCCATGTGTGGTCAGCAGAAGCTTCCCTTGCGCTTCTGGAAGGTATTACGCGAGGTTGGGCTTACCGTTCCCTAAGTAAGAAAGATGGAACGGTTCATTCAGGCGACGTATCTCGGCATGAATAACGCAATACCGAAAAGCGAGCGGGTGAACCTGGCGACTGGATTTCTGACAAGCGACATGACACAAAACCGCAAGTCAGAACAGCGGGTGAGGGTGCATCGCAATTGTCACCTCGGCGTCATTTACCCGGCTGTTGAATTGCTTTTCCCGGGGTATATCCCGATCTGCATGACCGAGCTGCGAACTCATCCAGATGATCCTCGGATGGTAATTTGAAGCCGTATGAAGGTGCGTGCGTTGCGCCAACAGGAGGACATGAAATCAAATCGGAACCGATGTAATGTCACGTGCAGTGTGTTCCACTGGTCTTCGGCGCCGATCTGCTTCTAGAAGGCTTCCCGAAGTGGTCTAGCGCATACCGCTAGAAGTAGTCTAAATCCACTCTCGTTCTGCTCGCCAACCGCTTGTGCTTCAGGCTTGCACATGACACCCATTCACTTTTGACACATCCCTTTTCTTCCCGCGCAAAGTAACCATGGTTCCACAGTGCCACTCCCACATCCACATCTGCCCGCGAACGCAGGCCAGCCATGTCACAATCAACATTATTATACCACTGACAAATCTCGAGCTTCATCAGGCATCCCCCGTCGTACGATTAATCGTTCCCAGCAAGCTTCCAAATCACCGCAATACACCCGCTGCAACACTGTCATCAAATTGGATCGTCCGGGACCGCTGTCCCATTGCTCACAAATAACGTTAGAACCGTTCTATGACAGGTAAGTCGCTCGAGCCACGAACCATGGATCACGATGCGTTCTGTCGTGCCCACGCGTTTGGCGGTCCAAAACCCTAGCCGCATCTGCGACTATGGCTAGCCCTGATCGGACGGGGAAGCGCGTGAGCCGTCTTGAGCAAAACATGTCATGCCTAGACTCTCATTCACACCTGCCATCTCGAGGTCATCTCGGCAGCTTTGAATATGAAATCCGCCGACATGCTATACATCTTCGCGGACCTACTTTGGCCCTCCCACACTGCATATTCAACAGTGGTATGGGGAATAGAGAATGGGTCGGCTTCCTTTCCTGCGTGCGTCTTGCCCCTAATTTGGCGTCCACTCTAGACCATGACATATATCCCGCACCCGGCCGAGCTTGCTGAACAGCTTGTGGAACACTACGAATCATGTATGAACACGACTGCGCACATAGATAGCTACACCGTGGACTTGCATACTCCATACTATCATGCCTGCTCGCTCAGCCCTCCAAGCAGCTTCACACTCAGCCACATCAGATCACTGTGCTACCGATGCATGCACGTGCATCTGCATATTCTCATTATCGTCCTTAAACAATGCAATACCTGTGCGTATCGGCATATTGCAAGTTCCAAAAACATCCGATGTTCGTATCACGAATCAGCAATGGCATACATGTGTTCCTCATCAGGCATCCCGTCCAGATGCGGCGCTAGCAGCCAGCGGCTCCACACATGAGGATGTCGATCGACTGGTTCACGCTGGTGCTGGTTCATCGGAAAAACCAGTCCGACAGACATGAGCATTGTCCACGTCGTATTGCAATTCAGGTTTGACTCATGGAAGCGGACTCGGAAACATTGTTCCTACTCTCATCCGCTCTCGAGCAAGTTTTTGGTAAGACACTGTAGATCGTGACGATCAATTGGCAAGAAAGACTGCGAAGAGCTGAAGAGATGGATGTGGAAGTGAGAGCGAGGCTAATGCCATCTAAAATGGTCTGAACGGCTGAGTGCAGTCAGGTGGCCTCGATGGATCGCACGTGATTCACTACCACATGCACCAACGATACTACGTTTTGGACATCCTGACGACTTGGCATAAAGTATATCGTAACAAACCAAACGAAAGACTGGCTCATATGCTGCAGCTGTTGTCATTAGTCTTGGATGAACGACGATGCTTTACACACCAGCACAGACAGCCACGAGGACCAAGAACATGCAGACACTACCTACGTGGCTACGTCCCCATCGAAGAGGAAGTTATGGTGTCCGCGTATGTTCACAGCTACCAACTTTCGGCTACTGTATTCCGAAGACGATAATCCCCTGAGCAATCAGGACCAAGCACATGACAAACCTCACATCGCCATCATCAATACCAACTAACCCCAAAGGCCCCCATGAACACTGCATGAATCACCACCCCCACAAATTCACCAACATCACGACACAAAGGAAAACATCCAAATCACTTTGCAGCATAAACCCAGAGTCACGGTAACTACACCCTCACCTTCCCTCACGCTTTGCGCCCATCTCCGTCAGTCACAAAATACACACCTGCAATCCTTCAGTTCAACATCAGGCCTTCCCTAGCCGCCGTCCCCATCCTCCCAAACCCCAACACCAACCTGACGCCCCATCCCATCACACCGTTTACCGCAGACCACCAGCCCGCCAGGGGAAGCAGGCCCTTCTTCCCCCTCGCATGAGGCCCACACATACAGCACACATGCAATCGCTACGTGATCGGTGAAAGCCCTGCAAGGCCGGAGCCGCAGCGTCGAGAACCAGGGGCTGGTAGCCAGACGTTTGGTGTGACGAGTTGTTGGGTGAAGGACGATGTAGGATGTACGTACATGAATATACATGATGTTGATGGGTCGTGGCGGTAGGGTATGTTGGGTACGTAACACAAAGAGGTGGGGAAGCGGGTAGGTGCCAGGAATCATGCTGTGTAACGTGAGATGCCTTGGTGCGTTGGTTGATACATGGTGTGCTGTGGTTGGAGAAAGACTGGAGTGTGAAGATGGGCTGGGGAGGCTCGGATGTAGGGGATGAGTACGGTGAATGATAGGGAGGGAGAGACATAGAGAGAGAAAGAAAGGGCAGAAGGACAGTAAGAGAAGAAGTAAATTGACAAACCAGTAGAAAGAATTGCTCGTAAGATCTCAACTTGAACCTCTAGACATCTCTATCCTAATTCCACAATAAAACTCCCCCATTCCCTTCACCCATCCCTCCCCAAACAAACATCCTCCACAGCAAACACTGACAACCTCCTCCCCCGCCCTTCCCAATCACAAACGTTCCGCGGCCTTCTCGAACCAACTCCACCCACATCTTGTACTACACTCGCTTCTCTCACCCCGCCTGCCGGCCTCTCCCGCATCTCACCCACTCCCGCCGACTCATGCCCCTTGTCTACTCTAAAGGGGGAACATAGATAGCTACGTGCAAACGACCGGGAGACTGCATCAAGCTCGATTCACAGATTCAGATTCGATGGGGCTCAGAGAAAAGTGTGAGGCGACGATGATGGGGGGCGGTGAGAGCGGTGAGAGGGTGTGCAACTGGCGGTGAAATTTTAGATTTGTTGATTGCATTGGATTTTGGCATGGTAGGGTAGGGTGGATGGGTGAATGAATGAATGGTGCAGGAGGTCAAAGTCTAGGTGGACTGCCTATGGAGGATTGAAGGCAATTGATACTCGTGAAGTGGAAGGCTACATGGATAGATTCGGCTTTCAGGGAGCGAGCAAGGCACGCAAACGCCATTCCAATCGTGTGGCTGCATCCCTCATCTTTGAACCTACGTACACCGCCCCACGCCCCCGCCACGCCACTCGAGCAAACAACAACAATGCTGTGCCTATCGCGCTTGAAGTGAAAAGAAACAGCGGACAAAGGCGAAAGGAGGGAAAAAAGCAGGCCAGTCGTGAAATGTCGTGGGCGAACACCAAGATGAACAACGAATGACCCAGCCCTGGGCATCATGACAAAGGCCCACACACACCGTCTCCACCAGGGCGCGAACACGATACAGGTGCAGGTACGGTGGTGGTGGGTAGGTACATACTTGCAAAACGGCTCTATCTGCGTGCGTGTCCCTCCTGTTCTAATACCGCCGAAAGAAGAGACATACACACCGCCCCTTCGCGACCGAAAATGCAGCGAGCCGAGCGATCCGCGGGAGCGCATAGGACCAGGTGCGCGTGATAGACTTTGGCGTTCAAGTCCTCCCGGCAGCTTGTCCCTCGTCCTCGTCGTCTTGGACCTCTGCCTCACGCGCCTGTGCAAAGAAGATGCGTGCCGTCCCGCTGCCAACGTTCCTGATGCTATATGTGTTGCCTGTACATTATGCGTTAGCAAAGTGTGATGGCCGACCCTCATTTCCGCCAATCAGCGACTCAAGACACGCCAAACAAAGGCCTTGATAATGGCAACGGGCAAAACGTGACAGGCGTCCAAACGGCGCGCACGGCGGGTTGATGACAAGTGCCAGATCCCAAGCGTGTATTTTGGGATCGCAAGAAAGAATGCAAAGTGTAAATGGAGAAGGGAAACGCAAGGACGGGGAACCGAAGAGGGGTCATCATGCACCACGCCGCGCGCTGTAGCCGCCACGCAGCGGATGGGCACGAAAACGCACGAACGACAGCTTGTGAACCATCGGTTAAGCATGTGGATCGCATCGCACCGCGTCAATTGTTCCACGGCAGGCGCGGAAAAGGCAACCCATGCATCGGTCAAACGCCACAGGCCTGCAGGCAACGAGAAGAGGAGTTGCTCGCTTGCCCCGGCCCCCAAGCAGTACAACGTTGCGGGACAAGGGCTGCGCGCAACGCATGCGGGAAGACAAACGATGCGGGTGCAACAGGCAGTATCCCAACAGTGTTGAGAGCATAAAGTGACCGCTGTCGTACAAGAGTATGGATGCGCAGAGATTGCAGATCAAGGACGCATTCATCCGCGGTGTAAGGAAAATGCAGGCATCGGACGATGAATGGAGGTTGGGGAGCTGGGGGGTGAAGAAAAGCAACATACCTCGAGGAACTTGCCAGATGCCACCCTTGTGAACAACAAACTCGTTCACATGTACTTTGACTTCGACTGTCCCATATTGCACGTTGAACAGCATGTGCATCATCCGCGAGTTCTTTGTGCGCTTCATCTGATCTGCCGCAAGCTCAAGCATGCCCCAGTTGAAGAAGTAGCCAGCTGAATCCATCTTTCGGTACTTGAAGGAGCCGTCTGCGACTTCAATTGGGTCAATGCCTTTCTCAGACCATGCAATGACTAGAGTCTGATTAGCATACATGGCCATTCACCACAGATTTGTCGTAAACTTACTTCCTTCCTCAACATTTGGCTTTGTAAGCTCTGTGATCGGGTCGTAGTCTTTGTAGTTACCAAACAGAACTCCATCCTCCCTTTCCCATGGCTCTAATTCGACTTCTTCTTCCTCGACAGAAGTCAAAGTCCGCTTCTTCGCCTTCGTGCCTGTACGGTAGCTCGATCTCTTTCGCTCGGGCTCGGGATCTTGGTTCTTTACGATGGCCGTCATACTGCCGTCAACGTCGTAGTTGATGCTCTCGTTCTTCCAGAAGTCGATGGGAGCAACTCGGTGTCTGCCTGTTCGCCCCACACGAGCCACAGCCTGAGGATCAAGTTCGCGAAAGACTGAAAGATGCCTGCCACGCCCATATCTTGAACCTGCCGATGCTGTGGACATCTGTTCCACGTCTTTTTTGCTAAGAGGGTTGCCCCATGCGTTCACCAGCTTGCCAGTCCCATCATTATTTTGAGCAGTCTTCTCCTTCGCTTGTTCTTGTGTAGTTTTATCTTTCTTCTGCGCGCCCACTTTCTTCTTTGGCTCTTCAGTGGCTTTCGGTTTTTGCGTAGGCTTCGTAGGCTTTTTGAATCCATCTTCTGATTTTTGCTTGGCGGCGGAGGTCTTTGAAGCGGCTCCTTGGCCATCAGGCTGTTTTTCAAAGGCTGGCTGAGCACGTGGAGGTCGACCTCTGCGCTTTACAACAGGCGCTGGCTCGTTAGTTTGCTCAGCTGCTTCCATGGAGATATCAGCTGGAGCTTCCGTGACGCTCGGTTCCAACTCAGACATGTCCGAAACGCGCTGAGATCGCCGTGGCTGCGGAGCTGTAGCGGATGCACCTTTCTTCCCCTTCTTCTGCACATCTGAAGCTTGCGCTGAAGCAGCACCCCTCTTTTGTAATGAGGCTGAGTCATTCGCCTGTTCAGTGGGTTCAAGGGCATCGCTTTTCCGCTTTCGACCCCTCTTGCTTGGTTGTTGGACAGGTTCAGGCGCTTCCTCGGCTTCTTCTGTGACTATTAGATCCTCTATCAGATTCTCTGTGACTTCCACTCCAGTGGTCGCATCATCTCCAACGTGGGCAGCGAAGCTCTCTTCTTCCATAACTTCCATGACTTCCGAGTTTTCATTCGCTGCAATCTCCTCCTGCACCATGCTCTCTTCTAGCATATCGCCTTCCTCGGGAAGTGGTGAGCCTTCATCTTCGGGGATATCGTATACAGAAGAAACGCCGTTGCGCTTCGCTCGGCGCGCGCCAGATCCGTTGAACGCTGAGTTGTCCTGTAGGCTGGATTCGTCCTGTTCGAAATCGAGCCGTCGGGCGATGGGAAGGTTTGCAGGGCGAATAGGACTGGAAAGGCCGACTGAGCTGCCCCTCGGTGCCATGGACGACTGTCGGCGCGGCGACGAACCAAGCGCAGTTTTCTTTGGCGACCGCGATCTGGGCGGAGGAAGATGTGTTCGCGGGTTGCGCAGAATCTGGTGGGCTGTGGTGAATTCTGGGATAGAGCCTATGCCGCAGTTAGCAGCTATGCTTTGTTGTCTTGCGCGTTTGCTGGTATTGTGCAGGCTCTATAAATGTACATACTCTCCTGGATATCCATAGATTCAGACGCGGTCACAGTCCCGCTACGCTTAGGCGGGGACTTTTCCGGCGACGAGAAGACACCAGAGAGCGCTTCGAGACCATGCTCATCGTACACACCGCGATCTGCAAGTGTTATGCCCGTCTTTCTGTGACCTGTGTCAATGTAGGCACTGCTTCATGCGATAGATAGTGAACATACCTTCCCTGTACGCCCACATCGTAGAAGATATTCTCGCGATTTTCGCGTTTTCGTTGAGGTGCCATACTCCTTGTGTATCAAATGTGCTCTGTACGCGTGCGCTGGATTGAATGGCGCGTGGATGTGGTTGCGCGCGGCCGTTCGAGGACGTTGATCGCTTGTTGTTTGGGTTTCGCGCGGGATGTAAACGAGCCAACTGCGGCATTTGGGCTTGGCACTGCCACCACCCCACTGCTCCAGAGATGGTGTCACCCCGACACAGCTCTAAGAAAAAAAGGTGAAGGATATTCGCAGAGGACATGCTTTTCCCGTGACAGGTATTTCAAACAGTCTTTTCACCTTGTATCTGTGTGCTGTGGAGCTGCTCCTCGACGTCATCTTGGGTGACTATTCTCTGGACACTGCATGTGACTTGGATCCTTTTCTGAGCACATAAATGGCCCGCCTACCATACCAACATTCATAAGCTAGTTTAGCGCAGGTCATCACGGTGCATGCAGGGGAATGTCACAATATAAGGTGAGGAGCCCACCCGATGGTGGGAACTTTTCAGGATTTCCTTGTATCTGGTTGCTACTTCGCTCCAGCCATTACAGCCCAAAGACCAACGTCAGCAACCAAAAAGAAACCTCCCTGTCCTACAGTCGCAGTCTACGCGCAGACTAATCGCTACTCCCATTCATTGCTCGCCTAGAGGTTTCCGCTCTCCTCTGCACCCACATTGTATCTCACCAAATGCAAAAATCTCCCTGGATCGAGACCTATTCCGCTAACCAACTCTCTTGACAGTTTCAGCCAACTTCGGAAAAAGTACCCAAGTCCAATCATGCCCGGCCGATGATATGCTTTTCGTGTAAGCGTCGAAAAAGCGGCAGCTAGCCGCAGAATGAGAAAATATACAAGAAAAGGAATCGTAATCGTGTCCATGGGTCATTAAATCGTGGGCGCAATCTCTCACAATCGAACATGCCGTTATCGCAAACGTTTGAATGAAGGCGATCCGTTGCATCGAAACTCGTTCCAGATCAAAGACACCGACGGGATCCGGACACAGAGCTCTAGTTGGGGCACGCGCTCTGAACGTGGCCAGGCTGCTTGCAGCGGTAGCAGACGCGCTCAGACGATGTCTCCTGGGGGCAGTCGCGCGACAAGTGGCCGACCTCACCGCCTAGCAAACGTTAGGTTCATCCTCAAAAGATCATGTTGATAGTGTCTCGGGTTACTCACAGTTGTAGCACTTCTGGCCCTGGGTGCAGTCACGGCTCATGTGGCCAAAGCCGCCGCATGAGTAGCAGGTAGTCTGGCGCGCTCCACCGTAGCCACCCTGGCCGCCACCGTATCCTCCACGGCCACCGTATCCACCCTGTTGTTGACCGCCGTAGCCGCCGCCCTGGGAGCAGTTGCGGGCAATGTGACCCTGTTGGCCGCACTTGTAGCACTCTTGGCCACCGGAACCGCCACCACGGCCGCCCATCTGCGCACCGCCGTCCTTGGTGCACTCGCGGGAGATGTGGCCGGTACCGCCGCAACGGTAGCACGTCTTCTCAGCCTGGGGAGATGTGCACTCGCGGCTGACGTGGCCCTTCTCGCCGCAGTTGTAGCAGGTAGGAGTTCCCTTGGTAGGGCACTCAGCAGCGCGGTGAGAGTTGTCGCCACCTAGAATAGTGTAAGCCAGAGCGCGCGGTCTGTAAGATGTGTAGAAAGCGGCGTGTGGTGGGCGAGCATAGGACACAAAGGCCAGAGTCGCGAAAGTTGCAGCGCTTCCATGGCCGAATGCTGTAATGATCCCGAGCAAGTGCCCTAGATCTCAACTACTCGGATCCTGACTCAACACCCTGACCTCACACTAGTGTGAGATCTCAGGGTTCAAGAATCGCCGATAGGCTATGCAGAATTGCCTTGCAGAGTTGCGATTCTCCGAGTTGAGCGACAGGACAGAGAGAAGTGTTTACTTACAGTTGTAGCAACCACGGCCACCGGCAGCAGGAGCAGGAGCTTGGTAATCCATCGTTTGAGGGTTTTGAAAAGACCTTGTGGGTTGTTAGATTGTGGGCCTTTAATATGGCCACCAGGCCTATCAGACAGCACTTACCGTAAGGTGTCGTTCGATAAGGGAGTGACTTTGAGTGAAGAAACCGTCGTCGTCTGGTTGGAGAAGTAAGAACCAACACCAATTAATCAAACTTTCAGAAGCTGTGAGTCTGGAATGGAGGAGGAACGAGGGGCAAGGCAGGATGGGGGGGGGAAAATATCTGCCTACGGTTGTGGTTGCGCTAGTTCGCTTAGATCTGTCCAGGCCTGGCTAGTCCCACCGTTGTTTTTACCCTGACGTAGAGTACTGGCGGTCGATTGATTCTTCACTGGAATGAAGGCAGCCAGGTGAAGGGCAACAGGCAAGGTGATGGCCCGGCAAGAGTCTGGCCATCTTGCCCGTGCGCCAATAGCAGTTCTGCTGGAGTTTGGCGGTGTTGGCAGAGGACAGCGAGTTCTAGTCTTCAATGACGTCATTTATAAATTGCCTCGCTTGAACAGCGGTCTCCTGCAGATCTCGAGATACGAGATCCGTCTAGCCGGACAAAGTGCGAACGTGCGACTGGAACCTGTCATGCGCACGTGGCCGCTGCAATCGAAACAACAACCTTTTGAGACATTTACATCGTGACTCCAGCGTCTACAGCAATTCGTGGCCGGTCGAACTACCTGCACTGGCAAACTAACAGCACAAGAAAATTACTTTTTGGTTTCTTTCGTTCGATTCGCTCTAGATCCAGGCCTGGTCATATGTTCATCTTCGATCACGATCTACCTCGGGCAACCTCTGACTTGTTTCTGGCCTCAAACAATGCTTCACACAAGGCTGCTAGCTATAGGGACTAACTATAGCCAACCATGGAAGGTTGCAGGATTTGTTGGGCAATGGAGCTTTGTAATTAGCACTAGCAGCTTCATATGGTCGAGTTGTTGTTGATGATGATGATGATGATGATGATGATGATCAGAGCAGCAAGAGCTCTCGAAGACTCGAACTGTGGAGAAAATCTCAGATATCTAAAACACTTATCATAAGCCAATATTCCCATTCTAAATTAAATATGCTCAGTCTGCTCATATGAGAATGCAGGACAGAGCTCGATCTGTGACAGACTATTAAGATAGCTAGAACCGATAAGGAGCAGTCAGTATTTACAAATGAGGTAGTGAAAATCCTAGGACCTAGATGCATTCGCGAGGATTCATAGATACCTATCGATCTCGTCTGCACAATTCATAATTCTACCAGACTTTATATACTTTGACATGGACACGAATCGATAGCGGTAAAACTGGCGCGTCGCCGTTCAATTCAGTATTCACAGACCGAAAGCGGCTAGCGCCATCACGACGTCATCACTTCTGATGCTCCTGGTACCTGCATCATCATCCACAGCTTACATTCACCAATTCCATATCGTCTAGAATCTCAAAGGGAATGCTACCCAACTTACTACGCTTATCTAGGAAGCCACATGCACTGTTCTGGTACTCTTTGCATGGATCAGCATCTTGTCGTGCACCCATCGCCATCTCAGTCTTGGCTGCCAAACTCCATATGGCCTCAAGCATGATGAGCCCCTTGAAACGAAAGGCTGATGGAACGAAAAGTCCTCCAGCCAAGGCTAAGAAAGCGAAAATTACGGTGCCACAGTATCATTTGACGCCATCAAGACACAATGAATCGGGTGAAATTGTGTGGCCTGCGCGACAGGAGCAAATTGAACGTGCTAGAGAGATAATCAGAAGATGGTAAGTGCTAATCATTTGAAGACCAGCATTTGAACAATGAAATAACTGATCACTACTAGTGCTGACGCACGCAAGCCGACCGTCGTATTGCCAGACAAGGACGCCGATGGACTGTCTTCTGGGGCCATATTGTTCCATACCTTGACTATGTTGGGTCTTCCAGCTGATTCGATTACTATTTACTTCCCACCAAAAGGTTCTAATGTGCATGACGACATCACGAAAGAGACCATTGCTACCATGTCTCCTTCCTACATTTTTGTACTTGACCAAGGCAGTAGAAAATCTCCTCCCATCATTGATACACCACATCAGTGTCTCATTATAGATCATCACTTCGCAGATGAAGGTGGTTTCCCCCAAGGCGCCGATTACGTTACAGCGCATGACTGTCCACCGGTTGCAACAAGTGCACTATTGACATTCAACATTTGTCTGCCGTTGCATCCAGATTTGAAGGACAAGATTTCATGGCTGGCTGCATTGGGTACGCACGGCGATCTAGGCAGTACGATCAAGTGGGAGCCCCCGTTTCCAGACCTTACTGCAATATTCAAACAGCATCCGAAGAAAGCCATCAATGAAGCAGTCGCACTCGTGAATGCACCCAGACGATCAGCAGCATACAATGTCAGGGACGCTTGGGACGCGGTGATAGATGCAGGAGGCCCAAAATCTATCCTCGAGGATACGAAGCTGCACAAAGCATCATCTGAAGTCCGCTACGAAACGGAGCGATGCACGCATACCGCACCGAAGTTTTCAGCTGATGCCACTATTGCTGTGTTGACCATATCCTCGGCGGCACAAATCCATCCCGTTATTGCGACTCGCTGGGCAGGTCATCTCAAGTCGAACAAATTGGAGGTAGTCATGTGCGCGAATGAAGGTTATTTGCCAGACAAGGTCCACTTCTCTTGTCGCGTCGCTAGGGTGGCTCGAGGAAGGGAAGACGGTCAGAAGGTCGATATTATCAAGAAGCTCGAAAATATCGTAGTAGATGACCAAGGTCTAAGAAAAAGACTTGGAGAGAGCTTTGCGCGTGGACACAAGGAAGCTAGTGGTGGAATCGTAGGCAAGCAGGAATGGGAAGAACTTAAGAAGCTTATGGGACTTGACGATAGTGCAACAAAGAAGAAGAAGTTGGAGACCGTTGCGAAGAAGCCAAAAACTTCACAAAAGAATACACTGTCGAACTACTTTGGCAAGTCTGCGAAGGTTAAGGATGCTTGAGGCTTGAGGCTTGACAAGTTTCGAAATAATCCCAAGTTCTATCCTAAGCGATGGACGGTCACGGAGCTTCTATACCTGAAAGCCGCTTTACAAGGACCTAGACTTGAGCATTATAATCCCTGCGCTATAGATTTTGCGATCTGTTACATGGGCTCGTCGATTCGATGAAATTTTCCTCCTTGAAGGTCGAATTTCTCCTATGGATCAGGACCAAGGCACCACAAAAGTAAATGTGGAAATTCCGGAAATATAATCTCGGTTCGCGTCACACCACATCCTCCATGTTACTGTGTGCTTGCGCCACATGTCTTATTTGTTCGGCTATATGACTAGGATGCCGGTTGATTTCTAGCACGTCGATATGACTGAAGAGACGATCTCAAAAAGGATCCCCATGGCCAGAATAATGATGCTTCTCTGGATAGAATCAAGAAGCCTGCAGAACATTACTGTATGTATTGAGAGCTCCCATAAGCCTGCCAATCGGGTGTTGATGCAGGCATTTTGTCGTCATATTAATCGAATCAAGTGACCATGGCAATCTATCCGCTTCATTTGCCAGGGCATCAGTGCATTCGAGACCGCTAATTCATGTGACACCCGACCCAGATTCGAGATGCCGTTCCGAATACGGAGATCTGGGGAACGCCTACATATACCTGTAATCTCCCTGCGAATGATGGGGTTGCACACAGATGGTTGTCAAGGATATCCTGATGACCTGCGCGTTACACTGCTTTCTCGGAGAGGCTTGAAACAAGCTTTGCAATTTATATATGTGAAATGGCCCACTCATCGCAAAGCTGGCCTGAAATGGATGATTCGAAGTGCAGATCAGATGGCAATTTCATGGTATGGCGGGCCGGTTCCACAAACTCGCTGTCAGATCGATAACCGGTTTGCGAGCACGAGTATCTTGAAGGTATAAAGTCTGAGAATCGCCATCATCAATGTTGCAGTACAACGGAGATCACTCGCTCTTGTACGTCATCACCTCCTACTGAGCATCATACAGGCCTATCCATCATGAAGGCCGGTCTCATTCTCCTCACTGCTGCAGCTTCCGTCTCCGCCCACTCAACATGGCAAGATCTGTGGGTCGGAAGTGAAGACAAGGCGACCAGCTGCACACGCACAGTTGCAAACAATAATCCCATCTCAAGTCTCACGAGCGCAGACATGTTCTGCGGTATCGGACCAGCAAAGTCTAGTGGAGTGTGTGAAGTCGCTGGTATGTCTACGTAGCCCTGAAAGTTGATCACTCAATGATACTAACATCTCGATAGCCGGATCTGCGCTCACAGTTGAGATGCACGCCCAACCTGGTGACCGCAAGTGTACTCAGCCTGCTATCGGTGGTAATCACTACGGACCCGTCCTCATCTACATGGCCAAGGTCGCAGACGCAAAGACCGCAACCTCAGGCTCCTTCTTCAAAGTTGCAGAAGACGGCTACACAGGCACAACCGCCTCATGGGGTACCGAGATTCTCAATGCCAATTGCGGAAAGCGAGCTTTCACCGTTCCCAAGAACATTGCCTCAGGCGATTATCTGGTTCGCGCAGAGGCTATTGCGCTACATGCGGGTGCTGGTAACCCCCAGCCATATGTTTCGTGTTTCCAGGTCAAGGTCACTGGTGGAGGTAGTGCGAACCCCACGGGTGTCAGCTTCCCAGGTGGCTACAAGATTAGCGACCCGTTGTTCACCAAGTCAATCTACGACTCGAGTTTCAAGTACGTTAGCCCAGGCCCTGCGGTATACACTGGTTAAACTCTGGTATGATTAGGTTCTGGGGAACAGCAAATGTTTGGGCTGAGTTTGTTTTAATGTACATAGATCGAATCAACATTGAATCTACTATTACATGGGTGTCCCCATGATGTGATTTGGATGGTTTTCCTCGCTTCATTCACCTTCCTGCTCACAAACGCAGCTACCACTCTCCATCCCACCCATCTTCCTCTTTGTAGACTTCCTATATCGAGCAACAATGAGGTAGCGCGTCAGATTTGCCAGAGTGAATGTTAACCTGTCACAGTTGAGCTACAATGTAACTTTCACAGCTCACCGAACAGAACTGACTAGGCTGTTCCTATGCACAAGTGCAAACGCATTGTACTCCACACATAGTCAAAAGGCCTAAGACATTGTACATGCGATTCACAAGGTCAGGTACTTGGCCTTATATCTTTGTTTGTCCTCTAAGCTCTTCGATCCAACCGCACTCAATGTTTGTCTCAAACTCGCCTCGATCACCTAAAGACAATTTCAAAACAAAATCATCAACCAACATGTCATCACAAGTTGGATCTTATCCCGATGATTTGTCTTTGAAATCACATGGAAATCTTGCTTTAAGTATTCTCCAATCCTCGCAAGGCGCAAGGATGAACGAAGATATCTTTCGAGGTGATGCTGATGATGATTTACAGACCAATTCAGACTCTCTCTTTGCAACTGAGGCAAGTGATTTGTCCCCACCACTTTCAGACCCGTTGGAGGTTGACTACACTGTCACTCCACAGGACGCGAACGACAATGACGAGGAGTTTGGCGAATTCGTTTCAGCATCGACTGACCCTTTTAAGCAGCCCGTTTTCTCCACTGTAGACAACGATGATGAGGCTCAATCACTTCTCACCATTGACTCGGACTCTGGCGTTGAGTTCGGGGAAATCGCAGGTACGGGAATCGTCCCTCCAGTCCTTGCTCGCCTAGAAAATTCGACACGCCGCATTCGCCAAGCAGGCAAGAACGTACAATATAAATGGCGGATTCTTCAGGGCATACAGCTTTCAAAAATCGAGTTCAAGGCTCAGCCTGCTGTTGTTTGTGAATCCCCTGCCCCGACGACTGCTCTTGAAGAGTTGGCGGAATTTGCCAGAGTAGCTGCAACTACCACTGAGGTTATCAAGCAACAGAAGGCTAATCATTCTGCGGTTGAGGCTGTTTCTTTGGACTGGGTTGTCCGGCCTGTATGCTTTGGGATGCCGCTTTTCACAGAGATTCCGAAGGAGCTCATCCGTGATCTTGAAGATTATATGGAGGCTGAGCGTGCTGCTTGGAGCGACTTCGCGGTCTGAGATCATAATCATCTGAAGGCTTGAGCAATTACGTTCACCATCATGTATTCCTGCAGGTAAGCTGTAGTAGGTGAGTTTGCAGTCGGCTTGCATTTTCCATCGGAATCTTTGAACGGCTCTTATAGCTTCCACAGGAAGCATTTCATAATAGTAAAGGACAAAATTTGCATTGTTTCTTCATATTTGTTTTGTTGTTCTTAGTGGTGAAAACAAGTAATGTCAGGATAATGTACGTCAGGAATCAGTAAAGCTTTATGTGCAAGTGATCGTGTGAAATCTGTGTAAAATATATAAAGAGGTGTGTTTTAGAGTTATGACGTAGCAGCTTTTCTAGCAGCACAATCCAGTCCAGAGTCGCCTTACCTGCCTCCGGGTAGATTCCGTTTCGCGCAGCCACGCCCGTTCCCTGGCATTTACCTGCAGGCTGCCGTATATGTGAGCATGTGAGAATTGGGTAGGAGGTGAATCGAGTTCTTCACCAAAGCCATGCCTATATTGATATGTAGCCCATGTCTTGTTTTAGATACGTCGATTCTCTAACATGCCTTGGTCTCGATGACATGCCCACTCAGATCAGACTACAGGGCCCACGATCGAACTATGAGTTTTCTGGAAGCTCTCAGAAGAAGTGGGTTATTCGTGCCTGACGATCATGATTACCGCAAGATAGGGCACCTCTCCTACCTATGCATGCTACCTGGAAACAATGCCATCCAAGACGTAAAAGTTCGAATTTAAAACCTTCAGTGTCCCTCCTGAGCATGGCCGGACTACGCTCTTTGGCAAACCGCTAAGCAATGTCTTGTTCTGCCGAGCTGCGGTCCAATTCCGGCTTGTTGTGTTACCCGCCTCGGCATGATGTTACCCGCAGCCATCTTATCTTCGTGAGGCTACCTCCACAGTTTCACACTGCGCCGGATGGGCTCCATGTGGTAATCCGTTTTTCCCCCAGCAACGATATAATGAAAGACGAATCAAATCACACGGTGGACGACCCATGTAAGCGGAAACTGTTATATCTCCGCACGCCTTACCCCACGGGGGGCTGATCCACGGTAGCTCAACCACTAAACGTCATCAAGCATCTTCATTGTGGGGATGGTTGAGCGCTAACAAATTGTGTTGTGCATCGTAGGATGCCGTTACATCGATAGAAGAACGTTTTTCATAAGATCTGGCGTGACGCACCCCAAGCTTCATTTGCTCATCACGTTCTTTTCCAGAGAAACTTAAACTTAACTGGCATTCTGTTGCAGGCATTGGAACTTGGCTGATATCACATGCGAACCGAATCATTGAGCATTGGTCCTTCAACATGAAGAGGTTCTACGGCCTGCGCGGCCTCAAACTCAATATCGCCATTGCCGTGGTGGCAGGCACTGATTTCGCGCTGTTCGGATATGGTGAGCATTTGCTATCTATATACATGACAATTGCTAATGTGGATATAGATCAGGGCGTAATGGGGGGGCTCCTCACCCTGCCATCGTTTCTCAAATACTTTCCTGAGATCGATACTATAAATCCCCCTGCAGGATCTTCCTCAAGCCATGCCGCAACAATACAGGCAATTACTGGTTAGTTTAAGATACATGAGTAGAAACCACAAGTCGTGACTAAAATTTGTAATAGTTGGCGCATACACGCTGGGATGCTTCTTTGGCGCAGTAGCTACTATTTGGCTGGGCAACATCTTGGGACGCAAACGCACAATCTTTTATGGCTCGGTCATTATGATTATCGGTGCTATTCTCCAGACAGCATCGTATGGACTGCCCCAGCTTATTGTTGGGCGATGGATCACAGGCTTCGGAAACGGTATGAACACGAGCACAGTGCCTACATGGCAATCTGAGACATCAAAGCCGCATCGCAGAGGCCAGATGGTGATGATCGAGGGCTCACTCATCGTCTTCGGTGTCATGCTCAGTTATTGGCTTGACCTTGGATTTTCCTTCCTCGAACCAAGCAGTATCGCCTGGCGCTTCCCAATCGCCTTCCAAATCATACTTGCCTTCGTTGTCATCGCTTTGATCCCAGGACTTCCTGAAAGTCCTCGTTGGCTGGTATTGAAAGGTCGCAATGATGAAGCCCTCATTGTTCTCGCTGCGCTGAGTGATTTACCGCCTGAAGACAAGAAGATCCAAGCAGAGTTTCAGGCGGTGAAGGATGTCGCCCTTGAAATGTCAAAGGGTGGCTTCCGAGATTGTTTAAAGATGAACCGCAATCGTAATCTCCACCGTACGACGCTGGCATACGTCAATCAGATGTTCCAACAGGTACGTGACCCAACAGTTACTCTCTTTAGTTATGCACTAATTATGCCCCAAGATAAGTGGAATCAACTTGGTCACCTATTATGCGGCAACTATATTCGAAAACTCGATCGGGTTGTCACCTTTCCTCAGTCGGCTCCTATCAGCTTGTAACGGTACGGAGTACTGGATCGCATCATGGGTCGCCATTTTCACGATCGAGAAATTTGGTCGCCGTTCTTTGATGATTTTCGGCGCCGCAGGCATGTCCATGTCTATGGCTGTTCTCGCAGGGGCGACGTCGAACATTGGCAATAAAAGCTTGGGTCTGCTTGCTGTGAGTACTCTTCTGATGATATCAAGAGCGCGCATCTAACAACCTTCAGACGGTCTTCTTATTCGTTTTCAACTCATTCTTCGCAGTCGGATGGCTAGGCATGACATGGTTGTATCCTGCAGAGATCACGCCGCTATCAATCCGTGCGCCTGCAAATGCTATCTCCACGACCGGTACGTAAAACACGCGTGGAAGACTTACATTATATATGAGCTGACGTTGGAACCTCCTAGCCAACTGGGCCTTCAACTTCATGGTTGTCATGATCACGCCACCGGCCTTCGCAAACATTGGATACAAGACATACATTATTTTTGCGGTCATCAACGCTGCCATGGTTCCCAGTGTATACTTTTTCTTCCCAGAAACTGCATACCGCAGTCTCGAAGAAATGGATGAGATTTTCCATAGGACGACTAACCCTTTCAACGTCGTCAAGATCGCGCATGATCTGCCCCACCGCTATGACAAACATGGTGAGCTTCTAGTTGACTACGGGGACACTGAAGCTGCGCATGACGCAGAGAGGAGACGAAGCTCTGTTACCGGTGCGGAAGTCAGGCGCCCAACAGGTGGCGTGATTGTTGGGGAATCAGAGAAAGGTGCAGAGTACCTCGAGCATGAGCAAAATGGCAATAGTCATGCCCGCTAATGCGAATGCTCTCGTGGCTATGGAGGTTCTATGTGAGCAGATTAATCTGAAACGAAGATTCTTGCATCTCAATTACATGGTTTTTTGATGTGGTACTTAGAAGGACTCTAGCATCTTGGATTGTCGCCCTACGAAATTAAGAATTGAGCTTGCGACACGCGGTGCAGAAAGACACGAAACCGATTAAAGATGAACGTGCACTGTCATTACGCCACTTGAAGACTCTAAACTATCGTACGGCCAGCCACAGTCATTGGTAGTATATCGATGTACTGTACATACACAGTACTTGCACTATTTTGCCTAGACGAAGTGCCAAAATATCAGACAGAATATGTGCACTCGCCCCAAACATATCCAATTAATCAAACACCGTGTTTAGTTCTTCATCACAGGCTCAAGCAAGCTACTAGTCCTTTTCCAAATACTTAAGAGGTCTGATGGTCAAACAAACAACAGTAATCTTCTTAGACGGCCGTGTCATAGCTTCTACCAAAATATTATGCTTACTCTTCTATATTGCAGCAAGGGAATTTTTTTCCCAGCAATTACTTGATACATGCATAATACTATAACCTTCAATAGATATCTTGCTGTACTATACGAGGTATCTAGGCTCGCTAAGGTTCATGTGGACGCCTAAATAGACGGTAAGTCAGCCTATCCAGTTAGGAATGGGTGAGTGCATGGATTATGATAGTCAACATTGGTACTTCGGCTATTATTCGTGCTTTAATTCGGCCCGTTAATTACACTTTTGCAGCTCGAAGAGCTATGCTTAATGGCGACGCAGAAAATGCAGATGTTGGCAGTGAATTCCGAAGCGTTTTCGGGCATATCGATGTGTGGCGTGTTGGACAGGAGGTACTTCTGCATACGGTATCTTCGTTGTTCGCCGCCGCTAGAATCCATTCATGCAGGGCCAAACCCAGGACTTCGGTCTCAAGAGCAATATGGCGTGCAAATATGCTCCCATGAAAATTCGACAGCAGAACAGCCCTCGATTTGGTGCGGCCCTATGAGATCAAATCAGATGCCGAGGAGACGGTAATATCGCTCACAGCAAGTCAATGGATTCCATACACTACTCCCTTTACAAATCTCTGGTAAAGTTAATCATGAATGAGGCCATGATAACGCGGCTAAACTGAAGAAAGAACTAGGTTTGACTCTGGAAGAACAGCAAGTCGAGTCATTGCCGGCCGGCACACCTACCTCTCAACGTAAAGCTTAGTAGTGACGCAACCAGAACAAACCCACAGTATAGACAAGGGATAAGGGCTACAAGACCATTCTCAAGGTGACGCAGCTCAGGGCCATGGGCAAGTGAAGCTGCATCCTCATGAAACGGAGATGGTATTGGAGGAGAGTCTTGTGGTAGCGAATCAAGTGGAGAAGGAGCTGCGACACCAATGCGATACAATGGTAATCAGCAGGAGTAGGTTAAGGTCATCGATTCAGTCAACTCTGAAGACGAGGAGGCAACTGCCAGCAGAGGTTCTAATGACCGAGATAGACTCCCGCCGGTACGATAGCGTGGAATACAAGGTCAGCCGATCTGGACGACAGATTACAAGGACTCAGTTTCGCATTGTGTTGGGAGGCGGCACAGCACTGATACCATTACCGTCATGGTAGTTTAAGTACACCGTCCTCATCATGCAGAGTCTCGCGGGCACCTCTGTGTCACATACATAGCCGAGTTCATCATCAGATTTTTGCTGAGTAAAAGTACATGCCTTCATATGGGTTCCACGAATAGAGTCATACCAGGAGTGTCAAACACTGCCTTCAATCTTGGGCCTTCAGCTGGTCATGCTGCGGGTCGCCTAGACTTGCCAATTCCTTTCAACAGGCTGAGTAGTGCTCAATACGTCTGGCCGTCGGAGCCATCCCGAAGCGTCTTTTGTACATACTCTCGTGGATGTAGCGGATGCATGTAATACGAGGGAATTGAAATTCCAGTATCTCTCTTCATCTACCCTGAACTTCAGTACCTAGGTATTTTGCACCCGTCTGCATGCCAATGTTTGTTAAGACTGGCACCAGGCTGAACTAATGCAACGTATGACGTACCGTAAGCAAGGATGAGCTTCCAGACCAGTTTGTTTTCAAGGATTCTGCTCAACATCAATCTGCCAAGTCTAGCCTTTGCATTGCTTGGAGATTTCGCAAGCAATAGTAATCAAGAACAATTAGTAGCTGTGGGTTCGGTACGAGATGCCTTGTTGGTTTCTCCACACAGCTTCATCAGCCTCCTCTTCTCTATTATCCTAAAATCTTGTGGTACTTCGCTTTTTGGTCTTACTGATGTGTATAACAAGTATCAGTAGCGAGTCTACTCCTGAGTGAAATAATATTTTTGACAAAAGATTTTGATTTGAGAAAGACAAACACGTCAAAAGATTCATATCAGCTCGATAGTCGATTCCCGACCTTAAAATCTGGCATGGAATTAACATTTGATAGATCAACTCTTTCCAACGCTCCCCACAATCACAAACAGGAAGAGTGAATCGATGAAAACGAGTATTATTCATCTACTAATACTATGGAGCTCCTGAAACCCGAGTCTTCATGCCGGTGGCCATACTGGCTTCTTCTGTTCTTCAATGGGAATGCAGCGATCCCAGCCAGCTCCGCTTTTAACGCCTTCGTAAGTGTCACAGCATCCGGGCTATTTGTCCAGTGGTTAGCATCAGAACTCAGAGATGGACGTCCAACCGAGCATGACGTCTGGCGCAAGAATCGTGAAACTCGACTTACAGTATCCTGAGAGTTAGGACCCAAGTAGTTGCAGCACAGCTTGTAATCTCCCCACAGGGTTTCGTGTGGGAAGGTAACGGCGATGTCAAGGTCGTTGTAACGGTCGCAGTAGTTGGTCTCATCAATCTGACGCTGCTCGATAGCGGCGGCGCTAGAGACAATAAGGAGAGAGGAGAGGACGGCTAGGACGTTGAACTGCATGGTGATAATGGATAATAGGTTTTCGGTAGGCCAAAAGATGTTCTTGACGAAAGATGATTGTAAGTGATGATAAAAGTAGTGTGCGGGTAGACTTGGTCCTTTATGTAGAAGTCTCCATACTCACGTCCCCAGAGTTGAACCAGAGCTGTCCATGGACCTAGTCCCAAATTGGTCGGTGTACCTGCTCCTGATCGATCATATAGCTTCTGTTTGAATTAATATTGTTTCACGACTTAGACATCACCTGTCTCCGTCATGTAACTTCGATTCACGTACCGCTACTACGCCAATTTGGTAGGCTTGGTCCGCTTCCCAGGTACTGACCCTGGCTAGTGTATACTGTGTAAAGTGATGAGTAACTCGACACATGGGTGAACAGGAGTGGATACTCGACCAATGGTCAGCTTGTAATAGATACGCCAGTTTTTTACAGCTCTTACATAAGTTTGTTGAAAAATGATCTGTATGACTACACACACTAGCATTGGTCAGAAGCAGTCGGCCCTTCATCCTTGCTCGTGCCGCCCACCAAAATACAATACCCGGTAACAGGCACCAGGAAGCCGCTGACCTACCGGTACAATACTCGAAGGGAATCAGGAGAGTGGGGCCAAACGGTCCGAAGTGGAAATGCTCGGATAACGGTATCGTTGCCGAACAAGGCAGGCGTGCAGCGCCACTGCGGAGTATAAATGTCCGATACAAATGGCAAAGGTCAATATATTGACAGGGTACGACAAGGCATAGTACCACCAGGTACTTTACAAATGGGCAAATACGGTACTCGCGCATGTACTACGCAAACTAGTGAACTCTGCTCAGAAGCTTAACCATAGCACCCGTCCTGTCGAGGTGGTGGCTGTGTCCGGAGAACACCTCCTGATTAAGCTTAGCCGGATAGTTACACGAGGGCAATATCCGTTGTTCAATTCTTATAAATGAATTACTCAATGCTCGCGTATTTTGTCTCCTCTTCGCCAAGCAATGTGGCGAATGCTGCGGTCAAGTCAGTCCTAGTCCCAGTACCAGTCTACCTAGAGTACGCTACGCTACGGTACCTCTGACAACAGGCTAGGGATTGAGCATGCGAATGGATTGGATCTTGAATTTGGTACATTCGATGTCAAAAAAATGGAACAATCTTGGCATGTTGAAACGCTGGATCGCGCTAGGTTGGTCTTTAAACCGCTCGCCAGAAAAGCGGTTCGACCGCGATAATGTGTTGATTCCAAAACGAGAAAATATGGTAGATACTAACCTCTGTCTGCCGTTTCAGCGTTAACTGCCATGTATTACGGGTTACGAGCTTCTCGTACGTGCAAAGCAGCATTTCAGTAGTACGCTATAGACTCATTCCTACCAACACTTGTGTATGTAAGTAGTACTGTAAGAACTGATGGGAAAGAGGAAACAAGATGATAGTAGGAGGCTATGTACCTTGACTAATTGCCAGTTTTAAATGTGCGCACTAAGCCTATCGCAGACCGAATCTGGCCAAGATGACGTACTGCGTAATTCCGTGCATGTGTCTAATTCACATCATCGATTTGTAGGAGCAGTTGGCCAATCTCTTTTTGTTTTTTCTTCAAACAGTTACTCTAGCGCGTAACATATTGTGAGCCATACACCGACTCTTTCGCATTGGCATAATTAAGTATCTCTGTGAGTTCATGATGCCTCTAGTTCCTATAGTTCATTGCGAACTAGCGTCGCATCTCTTATAGTATGTTGGTATCTCTCTTAAATACGTTGTATTTAGCTTGTGCTCGTAGAGGTCGATCCTCATGACAACACCCATGCTTAGGTAACATTCACCCCAGCACGCTTCCAACGTAACTAACCTCACCCGTGGCAATCACATGATCTATTGGTATCCACTCTAAAAGTCTCCAGGCGCAATAGTAATGTATTGATATCTTGAAAGAGGTTCCTCTGCAACATGTGAAGATTTCTACGATCTTTAGCTCGCCACACTGGTAGTTTGCACTCCTGTGCCTGCCAATGCTGACGACTAACGACCTCGGGAGCGCCACACCAACGTCTTGGACTCTTAGCTTGACACCGTAACCTCAATATCTCCTTTGAAATACCGAGCACTTGGGCTCATTCCACGCCATTTAACGTATATCTTGATTTGTTATCACTGCGTTGGGTTGAACATGAAGTTTTGCCTAGATTTGCCGAGGCTCCTCGATGCACGTTCTGATCACGGAGCCTCATGACGTCTTCATTGGATATTTCTGATTCCGTCATCTTAAGGAAGACGCCATTGAGGGTGCTTAGAAAGAGTCCAAGCAAGTATATAAATATCATTTATTTCCAAGGTTTCGTTTGTTCTCAGAACGCTCCTCAGAACGTTACATATATCATTAATATATCGACTGCGCTGAATCGCCGACAGAATACTCCACTAGTTACTTTGCTTAAACTCAAATAACTCCACATTTATACTCCACCGGCCTTCCTTTACCATGGCGCCCCGACGATACGAATCGGAGAAGAAGGATGTCTCAGTATTGGGCAAACCCCTCGATTTCGTCTTCTCTAAGAAGACTGCGCAGAACCGATTCTTGAAGGGTGCCATGACTGAGAGACTTTCTTCATGGGATGCCAAGAACCTTGAAGCTCGTGGTGTTCCCTCAAAAAACCTCATCAATGTATACCGACGATGGGGAGAAGGCCAATTCGGTGTAATCCTTACTGGTAACATCATGATCGAATACGACCACCTCGAAGCTGCTGGTAATCCCATCATTCCCCGCGGATCACCCTACGAGGGCGAGCGATTCGAAAACTTCAGGGAGCTTGCGGCGCAAGCGAAGCGGCACGGCTCTCTGATTGTTGGCCAAGTCAGTCATCCCGGTCGCCAGGTCGCAGACGTTATTCAAAAGAATCCCATTTCTGCATCAGACATACAACTAGAGGGCAATGTCATGGGTATGACTTTCGCAAAGCCCCGTGCTGCCACTGAAGAAGACATTAAGAACGTTGTGGAAGGCTTTGCACACGCCGCAGAGTACTTGGAGAAGGCGGGATACGACGGCATACAACTTCACGGTGCTCATGGTTACCTGCTGGCTCAATTTTTGTCACCTACCACCAACCGACGTACCGACAAGTACGGAGGATCTCCTGAGAATCGCGTTCGTATCATCACTGAGATTGGCCAAGAGGTTCGCCGCCGCACATCTGAAAATTTCCTATTGGGCATCAAGCTCAATTCCGTGGAGTTTCAGGAGAAGGGCTTCAACACGCAAGAAGCCGCGATCATCTGCAAGATCCTTGAGGAGAACACCTTTGACTTTGTTGAATTGTCTGGAGGGACTTACGAGCAGCCCGCGTTTGGGCACAAGCGTGAATCCACCAAGAAGCGCGAGGCCTTCTTCCTCGAATTTGCAGAGAAGATTACACCTTCGCTTTCAAAGACCCGTACCTATGTTACTGGTGGATTCAAGACTGCATCAGCAATGGCTGATGCCCTCAATACCGTCGACGGTGTCGGTCTCGCCCGCCCTATAACTCTTGAACCGGAGCTGCCCCGTCAGATCATCAACGGTGAAGTGCATGCCGCTATCGATCAGCTTACAGATGACAATGACTTTGGAATCACCAATATTGCAGCCGGTACACAGATCCGACAGCTGGGTAAGGACCAGCAGCCCATTGATCTCAGCGACGAGAAGAACTTTGAAGCTTTTCAGAAGGATGTTGCAACATGGAGTAAGAAGCTTGCAGAAGACAAGATTGGAAGCGAGTATGGTTATGTAGATATTGAAAGTATCCCTGCTGTTCCTTATGGAAGCTCAGCACCCACTTCGTAGATTTCAGTAATAGATCTTTCAGGTACGACATGAATGAAGTTGGTCTAAAACAATCGCAATGTAGAGTACAGTCAAAGCATTTTGTATGCATGATCAATGAATTCCCACGTTACGCGAATATTTTTGATCGTTCATCTCTGCTTTGATCTTCCCGTACCCACTTTTCTATGTTTACCATCTCGCTCTCAAGGCTATTATGCGCGCACAAATCAAGCTGGCGACTGTAGCATAGTATAGGTAATTGACAGTAACCGCGAAGCCTATAAGCACAATTTTGGCAAGAAGGGATTTCAGTAATTTGATGAAACTGAGACGAACTAGTATAAACGCTATTATTATGAATAATATCAATATATTGTGCAAGTGAGGGATTGGTTGGCTCGGTTATTTTCTAAAGGCATAGGTTTAAGGGTATTTTCTTCTTCTTGCTATGAGCTCCCACTCACTTTTGACTCATGTTTCAAAGGACAAGTTGAATATGACAAAACATGATTTTGTATGCAGCGTAGACACGGCATTTTGACGTCATTAGGCGTCACCCATGCAATTGAGTACATCTCATCGGCCATGAAAGACGACATTGACCAACCACAGGAGTGCAATGTAATTAGACTTCAAGATTTCACATTGAGGCATGTTACCATCTTTATCCAATTACTAGCCCTGCATCTACAACCTGCCGGACAGCTCATCCTCCACAAGTTATCAAAGCCTTGTGTGAGCAATTGAGGTTAGGCAGGAGAAGACACCACTACGTGTATTAATGCACGCATCAATCTGGTCTGCGACTTATTTCGCACCCGCAATAATAAAAGATTAACTATAATAGACATTCACTCTAGGAAAACAGTAGCTGCATGTTCTCTGTATCTGCAAGGGGATATTATATCGAATGTAGATGAGGTCAGTCTCAGTGTCAACACATCGCTGCCTATAACACTAAATACTGACTTCGCTCTGTGTTAGCAAGGCATGATCTCCACAAATTAACTGTTGACAATAAATAGCTGCTTTATTAGAGTATCTCCTAAAGATATAATGTGCAGCAAAAAAATCTTAATACAACGACATATGGTAAATTTTAAATTGTAGTTTACTAGGAAGTCATTTATACACATGTTTAAGAAAGTGTAGTCATGTTTAAGCTGAGATTAGTAGTTATTCTGACATCAACAGCAGCTTGCTCGATGTCCTGAACTGTTGTCTTTGAACTGTCGATTTTGGAAATTCTTTAACGTGAAACCAAGCATGCATGTCGGCCACAAGCGATCTTGGCTATGCGTAATTTCTAATTCTAATTGTACAGGGTCACAATACCTAACCAGATGAACTAAAGTGTGTCTAACACAGTGATTGACGCCTCCATCGGCCAAGAATAACTCAATTCGGATTACAGTTTTCTCTGTGATGCTTGGATCACGGAGCTGTTGATTCAACTTTCCCCAGGCACTTGATCGCAGCCGAACTTGATCCAGGGACACCCCAGGCAATTCAAAGTTACACACACTCTCGCCTCACAATTGTATTTACAGCCAGTAGCTTGATTGGCATCGGGTCACAGGTGCGAGCGAGATAGCACGCGAGTGCTCGAAAAGAGTGTAAGTGCATAATGCACATCGCTCTCATTCCACTTTGCCAGGTACGGAAGAATTATCCGGAGATATACATTGGCCTTGATAGAACAGGAAGCATAAAGGCCCGTTCGTCCACAGCACGTTTAAGCGCGGTTTGTCGCTCGCGATATGAAGTCAACGGCGCTTCGGTCACGCGGGGGCGGTGTGTTGGAGCATGTGACATCTGGGCTGGGTAAAGCACTCGTTATTTGCGAGCGATGCTTGTCCTCTTCAGACGATGAACGTTACATATCTCCATACTGCAAATGTCAGCAGTGCGCATTCATCTCGATGCTGAAGGGAACGACTGCTAGGTAGTGCCTAACTCACCTGTTCCAGGCCTGCGATCTTGCTGAAGGCGCACGGGGCAGGCCTTGGCATAGATCGAGGACGGGATGGGATCGCCGGACCGCCGACTTTTACCCCTGCTAGTCCAACCACAAGCCTTCACCAACCGTTCACACATTTGATGCTGCGTTGCGACCCCGATTCCTGCACCATGACACGGCAGCTCCTCGGTGTTGGAGAGAAAAGCCTGTTGCTTCATCGAAACAGTTCCGGGAGTGGGTCTGGCCGTTGGTGTGGCATGGCAGGCCCGGAGAAGACTTGCACTTCTTCATGGCAGGCACGAAGCGTGACTCTCCAACGAGAGCTGCCGAGCACACTTGTGCGTCTCCAATCACACAATGTGCGATATGCGGTGAAGCAAGTCCAGAGAGTGATAGCTACGTGGCTAGCCATGCGGGTGCAGACTTCTGTCACAGGCAGGATATGATATAAGGAAGTCGACCTCGAGCTACACAGCTGCCACCCTTTTTTATTCCTTGACACAAAGGTCGTCATCCTTGCGATTGACGACTTGCGACTCGCGGCTTACGACTTATTCCTGTTGCGCGAACCAGCAGCGTAGACAATGGCCCAATTGATACCGCGGCAAGGCTGACGCAACTGCTGGACACATACCCACTGGGCGCACCATCTACAGTACATAGGCGTTTGCCTTCGACTCGAACCAGCAGCTACTCTAGCTTGCACAAATGCGCAGCATCCACAGCAATATGGGCCCCATCCGCTTCACCAGACATTCCCTCGAAGCTCGGTGTGAAGCATTGAAGGCAAAACCGCAGACAGGAACCAAAAATCCCGAGTCAGGGCACTAGGGAGCGGCCGCTAGGCTCATGGCCGACCACTGGTGAGACGAAGCTGGGGTTAGGCGATTGGCTGACACTCTGGCTTGCGCAATACCTAGCCCATGGTCTACTACTCCCGCTGAGGCTGCGAGATGGGGTAAGGCGTGGCCATGCTCATGTTACTCGGACGTCGTTATCGATGCGCGGCAGTACATACAGTTTGCTGGCCGACCGAAGCCAGTCAGTGAGAGCGGCCGACCAGGTGGCAGACGGTGCGCATCATTCCGTAGTGGGTCGTGCCCGTGGCCTAGTGTGCATCTTATTCGTCCCAGCCGTTCTCTGGCAGCCGCTAAGGCTCGACATACAAGGACCCTAATCTCTTGAGGAAGCATTACTTCTCCTAATCGTGAATCAGCTGGGTTCTTTTCCTCACCACAGCCCTTTCTTCGCCTGCTGGCATGTTACGACGCTGAGCCGCGCAGCAGGTGTCTTTCGATTTGCTCTCTTCTCTACTCGTTCGCTACCTACCTTTGTTTCAGCAACTCTCGTTCATTTTCTTACCCATAGACGCGCGCGGGTGGGCGTGTGGCTCTTCGCGCCGGTCCATTGAGCTGGCGGCCTTGTGACTGATGCTCGATTTGTCTGGTTGCATTTACTAGGATCTACTTCTACTACCTCTTATCGCTCTGGCCTGCCCTCGTGTCGACATCACGACATGGAAGCAGCGCGGGAACCCCCATGGGCAGAGCACGAAAAGGTAGGCACCAATGCTACTGCACACTATGATGGACACCTCAATTACCTGGGCACCACTGATTGAAGCACCCATCGCAGGTCTATCTGCTCGCTGAGGTGTTGAAGGCGGCCCCAATTCCTTCTCACGTTCTCTTTAATATCATACGCGACAATAACATCCAGCCACGATGGAACGACATGGCACTGCCTCCCGGTACGCAAGACTCCCTACCATATATACGCGTATCCATGCGCTGCACGTCTGCCAATGGCATGCAGTGTGCCTGTATGAACTACCTGCTAACACTGGGCCCACGACAGGACGCTCAATGCACTCGAGCCAAAGAGCCTTCGATGCCCTAGCTGCCATGTACACCGGATCAGACTATAGGCGCCCTCCACTCCCCGTGCCTATGGTTTATCCTGGCCCCGAAGCAACCAAGAAGCGACCGCACCCTCAAGAGACAACCACACCAATCGGTAGACTGCTCCAGCCTCGTCCGCCGCATCCGTATCCTGAGTACATGCCCGCGGTTCCCGCCTATGCGTCAGCTATGAATCCAGCAGGCGAGCCAGCAAACAAGAAAAAAAGAGGGAGACCAACCAAAGCAGAAGCACAGCAGAGAGCAGAGGCGGCGGCGGCGCGTGGAGAAATCTATCCGCCTCCTCGAAGAGGTCGAGTATCCATCACAGGCCCGTCGACAGAGTCTTCGCCCCAAGGTCCCGAATCGCGATCGCACGAACAGCGCACCCCTCCACCTTCTGCACCTACACAACCGAGCTCCACCATGACGCCTCAACAACAAGTCGGCCCAGAACAGGAATCAGAATCGTCTTCAGGCAAAAGAAGGCGTAGCAGACCACAACCATTAGAATTGGAGAAGCATCGTGCTCTCAGCGACATGGAGTCTCCGCTTGCATACGGTTCAAGCTCAGGAGACCCCACTCGCAATCAAACGTATTCAACATATACGCCTATATCCGCGCCGTTACCTTCCTCGACCGATTCGAGGGACAGGGACGTACGCATGGAAGGAGTCGAAGAGACTCAGCCACGAACCACGACACCTCATTCGTTTAAAGACACGGTCGGCATATGAAAGCGTTTCTTTCGTCACAAAAGTACCATACGGCGGTAATACTGATTTAACAACATTCCGTCAACGACTTTTATTTATGTACTCACGATGACCTTTATGGCCATGAAATCATGGAGGCTAGCACTGCAGTTTTACTCTTGTTGCTTTCCATTACATGAGCACAACACTAAGCATGCGCAACCATCAGTATTTTTCACGTCACTTTGTTCCTGCTCTGAGAAAATATATTTTCCAGACTAACGGTCATTTCCAGGTTCTTTCAAAAGACCTATTTCTGCTTTGCCAAAATCCAGTCAATTCTTTGCGTGTTTCTCCTTTCGAATTCTGCATATCGAATGCTTCACGAAAGTTGACATCTTGACGCGTACATTGTCCTCTAATGTTTCAAGTATTTACTATCTTAACGACCCTTGAGAAGAAGCAAAGAAGTCGAGAGTTTTGTACGTACACGGAAAATTCGGGTGCTTTTCACTTAGCCAGTCACATTTTCCTTGTTTTGTTGCCCGCTCAGTTTCATACAAACTTTGTACGATAGCTCGGATTTCCAAGTTTTACCTTCATTATTGTGCAACAACTTCACGGCCTCATTGTACAAAATCAGCTATAAGCAACAGCATCAACAGTAGAAGCGGCTACGGCCTATCATCATGCAGATTTGACACCATTCTGAGCGCGCATGCTTTCTGGTGCCATGTCACAAGTCGTCCATGCACGTCAATGAAGGCAACGCTGTTGTCCACTCAACAGGCGAGAACACGCACATCACAACATTCGGTTCCTGCAGGCCGACTGGGAAGGGAGCTTCAAAAATAGTCAGAAACGCTTTCTTGGGAGTGCCAGAGGCGACATTCACGAAAAGTGGGCGTGCAGCACGAATAACGGGTCTTGTTTCACCTGTGAATACACCAATGATAAGGCCACCTTCGGTACTACTTTCGCTTGAATTGTACTTCGGAGTTGGCACTTGGTACCTACCCAGGGTCGGAGGGCGCAGTTCATATGACCATGGAATTAGCGCTGCGTGAACTCGTATTTGGCATGGGGTTAGGCCGTGCCAAGCTCCACTAGCTAGCTAAGCGAGGTTAACCAAACTGTTGCAGGAGGGATATCAACCGGATCACGGAGCATCTTGATCCGATCAATCCCGATCAATACCCCTGTATGACCCACTATCTGATCGACTGCCAGCTCACTGCCAAGCGCCCAACAAAAAGCAGGAGCTCTGGTAAGGAAGGTTTACCGATCATTCACCTTCTGGTAAGGGTAGCTGAAGCTCTATATATATGAGTCCGATCGTAGTAGATACAATCCAATGATCCATCTCCCAAATTATTCCTGACCTTAGTGATCCAAGTTTCCACAGTTATGAGCCCGGGTCGCGCTTTACCTCATTAAAGATCGTCCTATCCATTTGAGCGTATTGTTCGACTTGGACACTGAGCCAGCAAAGCTTCACTCTTTCTTTATACCATTTCTTGAGCAGAAGCTCACTTATTACTCTTCTACCATGAGCGACCAAATCCTAAAGGGGGATATCCTACTCACTGGATTAACTGACTGGCCCACCTGGTACATTCAATTCAGATACCATGCCCTAACCAAAGGGATCTGGGCAGAGGTAGACCCTGAGGCTCTGGATGCTGAAAACCACTTTGAGAATAAACCCATCGAGCCCAACATGCCAACAAATATCGCGCTATCTAACACAACGAGCGAGCAGTACAAGCTCTAAATAGCTCAGTACCGAGCCCGCTTATTAGATTGGGCATCAAAGTCATCAGCAATCCAGAACCTCTTCACATAGGTCAACAACACGGTAGATTAAGGGATCCTTACCCCAGCCTATATAGAGCTTGTTAATCAAGGAAGAGTAACCCTCTAAGCACTTATCCGAGTGCTCCGCAACAACCTAGCGCTAACTAATTTAAGCGCTGCAACACTGGCGAGATCGCAGTATAAAGCTTATCTTGCTAAAGTAAAGATAAGCGGTCAAGACGCTGATCGCTGGCAAAAGGAGTGGACGATCCTGTATGCGCGAGCTAAGGTATACAACGTTCCTGATGTTAAAGGACAGCTCGCAGTACAGGATTATCTTGAAGCTCTATCTGCCAGGATCTCACTAGATTGGGGTTGAACCATGTTTCAAAGGATCATTAAAAAGTCAGTGATGGGAGAGCTAACATACAACCTCCCGCAGGTTGCTAAGATCTATTTATCACTTCTCTAAGAAAACGACATGAGATCAAGCTCTAGGGGTCCTAGAGTATTTGCAACAATAGGAGCTCCACCTTCTAATTAACCAAAGAAGGAGTCTTTATGCCCATGCGGTAGATCTCACCTATGGAAACCTCCTAAATGCAAAAACGTTATCGAAGCTTGGACTGATACAGGTGACAAGCTCACTACTACTTAACAATCAGAGATCAAGAAAAGGATTAATAGGAATCAAAAATTCAAAGAGTTAAGGAAAGCTCTAATCAAGTCCCATCCTATCGATTAAGATCATGGTGGTGAGGCAAGCACGATCACCTATCCAGGCAGTATCCAGGCGGCACTGATCAACCCTATGTTGATAGCGGAGAAAACGAACGGGATCTATTCAACCATAGACTTTGAAGCTTACGCTCTATTAAAGAGCACTATCTTTAACAACAGAGGTGCAGTGCACCTAGTTAATAATATAAGCTACCTAGAAGAAAGCTTGTTCAGATTGGTTAAATATGAGACGGTTGAAGCAGGAACTCAAGCTTTTCCGATCTCAGGCAGAGGGACTAGAGTGATCCCTAATGCTCTTAATGGACCAAGAGGTCCAAAAACAGAAGATTTGGTGCTCACCGACGTGGTGTTAGTAGAAGGTTTTCATGTGAATATCATATCAGAAGCTCAATTACTCGAAGCAGGAGTTTGGTTCCTTAGGCTAGATGCCACCTTGCGGTTTGGATCATTAGAGAAGAGCGTTATATTGGCCAAGTTACTGCGCAAGTTTAACTTAACTTTCCTAGAATACAAGCCCTCTACCCCTTATCAAATAATCTAAAGCATGGTGCCCAAACAACACCGACGATCCTAGACAACTCACCCAAGACACGACAGTGAGGAGCTTTAGCACCAACGATCAGGCTATTTAGGACCTAAGGCGCTTAAAGCTCTAGTCAAGTCAGCAATAAACGTTAGGATTAAAGGAACTCCTAGGAGCAAATGCGAGCACTGCGCTATTATACATGCCCAACAGGTCATATCAAGACAACCAAGGGAAAGATCACCACGTCCATACTACCGGGTATCATGGGATCTATTTGACATGCCAACAGGTATAGCTCACGAGCAATGGATCTTGGTATTAAAGTGCGACAACTCAGGAAAGCTTCATACCTATCCACTGCAAGCCAAAAACCTCAATAAGATCATGCAGGTGTTCGAAAATTTCAAGAGCTTGATACTTAACTGATATAAGCTTAGCATAGTCAAGATTATGCAAGACAACGACGTTGCAACGCTCCCTTAGCGTGGCGAATCTCGCTTTCAGATCTGGGCAGCTAACAATAGTATTAAAATTGAGAGCTCACCCGTATATACCCATAAACCCAATAGAGGAGCAGAAAGAGCAGGGCAAGAGATTATAACGAAATCGATCAAAATAAGGATCAGTGCCGACCTACCAACAAAGCTCTGGCCTGAAATCGTTAAAGCAGCAACTTGGCTCTACAATATAAGCCTGTCTTATGCTCACGATATGATATCACCCAACAAAGTGCTGGATCGTTGGTTTACCGGATACTTCAGGTAGTGGCAACCAGAGCAGATAAGGGAGGCAACTGCTGATCTCCGCCCTGATTAGAGCGGAATATACGCCTATGGCTGTCGAGCTTACCCCCTTAACCAAGATCGAGCAGCCGGGCGTCACAAGAGGGTTTTCAAGGTAAACCCTTGGGGTTATATCGGATATCTGGTGGGATACAGAGCATCTAACATATACAGGATATAGATCCCCTCGCTTAATCAGATTATCACAACGCGGAACGTTACCTTTGATAAGGATCTTTTCTACAAAGAGAAAGATCTAGAGCAGCTTTAATAGTTAGAAGCTTAAAAGATAGTTAACGTTATTAGCAAAGATAAGATCCGCGATGCAGGAGAAGCGTATAAAGAGCTTGATATCTTCGATCAGCTTCGTATTGCGGCAGAGCAACATAAGGAGTCTAGTGAGCAAGGAGGACTAAACCCAGCGCAGGAGCTAGGGGGTAGGGTAGAGCCAGAGGAGGTAGATGATTAGGCTAGCCGGCCTAGTAATTCACAACCCCCTAAGCAGACACCTCTAGCGTGGGTACCGAGCACGGCCAGCTCGGCACAAAGGATCCATGCAAAGTCCCCTGAGCTAACAGGGCTCTAAACTCCTGAACCAACACCAGAACCAAACTTTGGTACAGGATACAAAGGATCCATACAGGTCATAGATCAGGGTCTTACTACCCAAGATGGTAGTGATCTAACTCACTTAGACGCCACGATAGGTAGCTCCTAGGAAAGACCTAGAGGGGAGAGTGCTATCGATAGGTCACTCTATGAGAGCACAGAGATGGGTGAGGGCACCCCATCTAGTTCTTATAGGGGTAGTGAGCAGAGCTCCCGCCCACCCGCTTTGGGACTAGATTCTGTATCTCCTGCAGATCCCTCACAAGCGGCACCTGGAGCTCCTGGAAAAAGCAGAAAACCGCGAGTTAAAGGACTGCCACCAACGCGTGTTAGTAAGCGAGCTTAGGGACAGGACCCCGATGAACCACTAGGAGGCTCCACAAGTGCGGGGATATACATGGTGATAGATCCATTAGATATAGATCTAATTAGAAATCCCTTGCACGATCTTTTGGTACATCCTAAACTAAACGCTACAATCCACGCTGTGATCGCAGCAGCAATAGGGAGCAAATCCCCTAAAAACCCTAAAAGAAATACGCACCGGGACGCTCTACAAAAAGAGCCAAAACAATAGAAGGATCTCTATAACTACCAAATAGGACAGCAATTCAGAGACGCAGCACATAAAGAAATCAATACTCTGCTAAAAGCTAGTACCTAGGAGGAGATCAATAGGCCAAATACAGGAGAGCGTCCACTCCCACTTAAATAGGTGTTTACATACAAGCTTAATCAGGATAGTTACCTAATTAAGTGCAAAGCAAGGATAGTAGTAAGAGGAGATCTACAGCTCACTAACTTAATTCATTCAACCTACGCAGCTACCCTAGCAGCTTGAACCTTCAGGACTGCAATAGCTATTGGAGCCAAGTTTAACCTTAAGATATATCAATATAACGTTGTTGGAGCTTTCCTCAACGCCTTAAGAGATCAACACCCTACAGTTATCTGCGAGCTACCTAAAGGATATCAAATACCTAGGAAGTGCGTTAAGCTTAAACGAGCTCTATATAGACTGAAAGACTCACTATTATTATGGTACAATAAGCTCTTAACTACACTCCAAGAAAATAAGCTTATTGCTTCTAAAGAGGAGCCATGCCTGTTCTTTAACAGAGATCGCAGTATCTTGTTGATATTCTATGTGGACAATATCCTATCGCTCTATCACCAAAACTACGCAAGCTAAGCTCACAAAGTCATCCAAGCTCTAAAGCAAAGATATACTATAGAAGAGAAGGGACCTGTAAGCTAGTTTCTAGGGGTAAGAGTAATCTAGGATAGAAAGAGACGGACAATAACGCTTATTTATAATAAATATATTAACAAGATTACAAAGAAATTCAATCTAGTAGAGATAGGAAAATTCCCTACTATACTACTATTAAGTAAAGATATTAAAAAGAGCACTAAAGAAGCCACTAAAAAGGAGATTAAGGATTATTAGGAGCGCGTTAGATCAATCCTTTACACCTTAATTATGGTGCGCCCTAATATTGCCTATGCAGCCTCCTAGCTCTCCTAATACCTTACTAACCTATCTAAACAACACTTTAATGCGGTTAATTAAGTGATTGTCTATCTATACTAAACTTAATACTAATTAATCTAATATAGAAATAGGGATCCTAATAAGCTTATAATATATAGTAATGCGTTATTTACTAATAATATTAATACTTAGCAATTATTATATAGATACCTAATTACGCTCTTTAGAGGACCTATTATTTAGAAGGCAGCTTAACAAGCAACTGTTATCACGTTAACTACTAAGGCAGAGCTCCTTGCGCTTAAGCAAGTAAGCAAAGAAGCAATGGTGTTGAAACGCTTTTTAACCAAAATACATCTCACTTTAGATACCACCTAGACGATTAATTATAATAATCAACAAACTATTAGGTTAGTAGTAGGCAACAACGAAAGGATCACCACCAAGCTGCGCCATATAGATATTCAAAACATGTGGCTCAGGCAAGAACATGCAAAGGGATCTTTCTACATTGCCTACCTACCTACTAGTAATATGCCAGCTAAATTGCCTACCTACCTACTAGTAATATGCCAGCTAATATGGTCACCAAAAATCTAACCGCACAACAATTTATAAGGTTTAGGGAGCACCTAAAGTTACACAACAGCAGAGCACAGATTACATAGCGTTAATTAAAGTAAGGTAGTATACAAGATCCATTAATATATAATACAAGAACAACCAACCACAGCCTACCTCTCTATTATTAACTAGGCAGCTTCCCTAAGGAGCTCCATCACGCGCGCGAAGCGTGCCTCAGAGTCCATAGGGAGCCGCCCGGGTTGCCCTATCCTAGGATCCACAGGGGGAACCTTAGAGGAGCCAGAGTCCTCATCTTCCAATAAGGAGCTCTAGGCGCCCTTAGCTGCCGAAGCAGCCTTGCGCGCAAGCTCGGCGGCAGCAGCAGCAGCTTTTACTAGCTCCTGCTGCTCAGCCTCGCTCTCCTCAAGGAGCACCAAGACCCTCCGCTTCTCATCCTTAAGAAGGTCTTGGCTCTCACCCGCCTGCTTCCTCGCTAGGAAAGACAGCGCAGAACGTTGGGCGAGCTTGGGGCTATTAGTTTGTTAGTATAAGATCTTGCTAAGCGTTACAAAGGAAAAATTCTTGTATAGATCACATACATTAGGACACAGCTATGCCTAGAGGAGCACTGCCAGCACCAAGTCCCCCTACTAGAAGAGTCATGGCACTCGCCATTAGACTTGTTAAAGAGCGCTGAGCGCAGACAATTCAGACAAGTTTTGGCACGACGAATGCCAGGCTCTCCGCGGCAGGAGGATCTCAGGGTCTCCTTAGGAGCTAGAGAGGGAGCAGGAGCGGGGACAGGGGACGGGGTCCGGGGAGGAGCGGGAGCCAGAGTTAGAGCTGGAGTGGTGGGAGCTAGAGCGGGAGCGCCCTTCCTCAGCTTCGCGATCTTAACCGCGGCAGCGGCAGCCACGCGCTTGGCTGCCGCACACTCCGCGACAGCCTCACGCTTAGCAGCGGCGCGCTCTTCTTCGGCGGCGGCGGCTTCGGCAACTGCAGCTTCGGCTGCGCGGGAGGCGATAAGGGCAGCGCGGGCAGAGCGAGCGCAAGCAGCAGTTTTTAACTTTAACTAAGACACAGGTTAGCAGGGATACAGGCATGGTTTAGATCTTTAGGGTTGCACGATCTTACAATACGGGCTATAGTAAAGATTATAGTTAGGTAGATAGAGTCACAGAGCTAAGTCTAGGCAATATCTACGCGCGCAAGCGCAGGCTAAACAAGGAAGGCGCGCTAGTTAGTATCCAAAGGGTGAGCTAATTTAACCCTTTGGATATACGACGCTCTGATTGGCCACACCACCTACTAACCATAAGCGCAACCACAACAACAAAAGATCCACCTATACCTAGGGGGTGTGTTGCAGGAGGGATATTAACCGGATCACGGAGCATCTTGATCCAATTAATCCCAATCAATACCCCTGTATGACCCACTATCTAATCAACTGCTAGCTTACTGCCAAGCGCCTAACAAAAAGCAGGAGCTCTAGTAAGGAAGGTTTACCAATCATTCACCTTCTGGTAAGGGTAGCTGAAGCTCTATATATATGAGTCCGATCGTAGTAGATACAATCCAATAATCCATCTCCCAAATCATTCCTAACCTTAGTAATCCAATTTTCCACACAAACATTATACCGTAAGATTTTGCAACGTGTTCTAAACCTGTTCTAAATATATTCTATACTAGTAACACTAT